GTAAATACACTTTTTTTTTTAAGAAATTGAGACATACAGGCGTATATCAGTTGAGCTTTGCAGGAAGGCTGACTGTTCTTACACTAAATCTATTGAGGAAATACACAAGAAAATTGATTAAATATATAACGTGTTAATCTTAAATGTGCGTTTTAAAGCATTCATACAATTTTCTGACAGATAGAACAAATGATGGAAAGTCAACCACATTTGATATAAGAGATATGTGCCTGTGGACAGATAATTCATATTCTAACCAAAACGGCAACGCTCTTAAAAATTTCCAAAAATATAGCACACTTAACATTTTCCTTTAGCCTTGTTCGGAAAAGAAACGAATTTAGTCATAATATGGGTTTTGTGTTTTAAAAATCGGGGATGGTGCAGGGGGCAATTTCTTTTAAATTTTAAATTGTTATAAAATTCTATAATTTTCATTTCAAATGGGAAATATTTCAATTAATACCTTCCAGCAGACATATATATTTTCTGTATTATAATCCATTAAAGATCCATTTTTCTAGTGATAACTATTAATGTAATGAATGTAACAATTATGTAGACAGCAGGACCTGTGTTGTTCCCTCAAATTACAACATTTTCCTCAATCAGTTTTCCACGTCGAAACTAGTGAACTTAATCTACAAAATGTTTTGAGTTTTTGACAAACGAAATTGCTTTGCCTACTACTAGCCGTTGCACAATTTGGTAAACTGGTTAGCGATTACTGGTGCCATTTTTGTCTTCCCACATTTTTAGCACTTCATTAATTAGGTCTCATTGAGATAAAACATTTTCTCCTGGTCTCTTCGGCACTGCTTTTTATTTCGGTCTCCTATTATTGTCATTATTAACAAAATGCTGTCACCCCGGATAAGCTCCGTTAAACTCCTCTCTAGGGTGAGTGGTCCTTTCTTGAAATTAAAACAGTGAAATTTCTTTCTAATTACACTTTTAGTGTTTTTTGAGAATTGAGAATTGAGTACTTTTAGTGATCTGCTTGGTTCCACTTGACTTACTGTCTTTCTCTCAACACCGCATTAAAACCCTTCCTGTACACTGTTCGTCGAGAGAGATATAACGGTTTTTCTCCAGTCACTTCTAACTTTGCTTAATCACATAGATTCGATGGAAAAAAATCCTTCAACACATGCGGACGTATTGCAGAGAGTGGTGTTCAACTCGGCTATGGCCGCTGAATGCTCATAAGTGTTCTGTGCTGCATGTTGGCAAGAACAATCCCGGTTCGAACGATTATATCAATGGAAACATTGTGTTAAGTGTCCATTCTCAGATTGACCTAGGGGTGACAGTAACTAATGATCCTGCGTGGTCTGTACATATATCAAATATTGCAAAGAAAGGAAAGTGCGCGTTATTTATTTTTAAAAAAGACTTTTAAAAATTCTAGTCCTCGCATCGCTTGCAGACTTTTTACCACTTACATTCGTCCCATACTGGAATTTGCTTCCCCAGTCTGGAACCCATGGCTATTGCGTGACTGTGTTGTTCTGGAAAGAGTCCAACGAGCCGCTACGCGCTGGCCACTTCAACTTAGACATACACCTTACGATGACCGTCTCAAAATACTTAACCTGCCAACATTAAGTCAGCGTCGGCTGCGAGGGGATCTCATTCAAATGTATAGGTTTGCACATGACCAAGTTCCATCTGACGTGCCCTTTGTGGTCCTAAGCAATGATGAACGCCTACGTGGTCATCCATTTAAAATAGGAAATGAACGATTCAGGACTTCCCATCGCCTACATTTTATAAGTAACAGATGTTGTGTGTGCGCCGAACTTGTCTGTATTTAAACGCCGCTTGCACAGTGTAACAGCAATAACTAAATATTTATTGTATATTGTATATATTCAATATATTTATTATATAACTATCAATGTGCATAATAGGTTCTCCTCTGCACTTTATTCTTAGTAATAATAATAATAATAATAATAATAATAATAATAATAATAATAATAATAATAATAATAATAATGATAATAATAATAATTGGTGTTTTGGGCATTGTGGCTCTGTGGGCTCCTAAGTAAGCCGTCAGAAACGGATTAAAAATCTCGAAACTCTCACCCTGCTGGTCGCACAACAAGCCCAGATTGCAATTTTCCGCCCTTAGTCGAAAGAAAAAAGTCAACCAAAACATCCATTGTCGTACATAAGCATTCTATACGGCGATGCGCATTTGTCGGCTACCTCGCGACACGTTAAGTGGCGAAATCCTTTTTGCATCGGCGCGTTTCCATTCAACGACCGACGGAGGTTGATTGACAACCCCGCAGAGACCCCGGGGTGGTCTTCATGGGGGCTTTCGCCGAAAACGTGTCAATCAAAACTGTTACGCGACTTTGCGTCGCATCTGTCGCCGGGTGATGGCAAAAAGTCACCCATTGTGCAAAGTTGCAGCGAAATCTGGCTTTCGCTCGACTTGCGTTGGTTTGTAATCGAACTGTTCACACGTCACCGGGTGAATAGTCTCGACGTGTCGAAAACGATGTTTTCGTTCAAACAGCAAATTGACATGTTCACCTTGACACCCCTGTATAAACGCGGACAGTACGCCGGGAGCTAGTAAAAAATACAAGAAAACGAGGTTATCATTCAAAGCGGCCCGAGTCCAAATTCCTTCGAAACCATTTAGCGATTGAGTTTGTTCTAAAATTTGCCTTATTTTCAATGAACATCTCTGAAAAACTATTTAATTTTTCTCAAATTTGTTTTAGTTAAATTCAAAATTCACGGTTACTTTTGCTTAACCCCAACTCTAATCCAAATTACTTAAGATCACGTATTGCTTCCCAAAATCTTGCTTTACTTTAAGTCCAATTTCTTAGAAATTATTTAATGATCCCACATTTTCGGAATTTTCAAAAATTGGTTCAAAATATTTTCACTTTACTTTATGTGCAAATTGAATCGAAATTATTTAATGGTTTCATATTTTCTCTAGTTCCCAGCAATAGTTCACAGTTCACTCTTTCCAAATTAGTTAATTACCCCATATTGCTTCGATTTCCCAAAATTAGTTCTCATTTACTTTAGTTTAGGTCCAAATTTTTTTTGAAATCGTTTCACGATCCCATATTTAATCGTTTTCCCAAAATTAGCTAAAGCTTAGCTTATTTCCAAATTTCCTAAAAATTATTTAATGATGGTTTATTTCCTCGATTTCTCACCTCAGTTTAATTCCACATTTGTTTGAAATTATTTAATGCTGTTATATTTTTTGGATTTTCCAAAATTTATATTTTACTCTTTAGTTTCAGTCCAAATTTGCTATAAATTATTTAATGATCCCATATTTTCGGAATTTTCAAAAATTCGTTCAAAATATATATTTACTTTACTTTGTGTGCAAATTTAATCGAAATTATTTAACAGTTCCATATTTTCTCGACTTTCCAGCATTAGTTCACAGTTACTTTAGTTTCAGTAGTTTCAGTCCAAGACTCTTTCCAAATTATTTAAATACCCCATATTGTTTCGATTTTCCAAAATTAGTCCTCATTTACTTTAGTTTAGGACCAATTTTTTTTTAAGTTGTTTCACGATCCCATATTTCCTCGTTTTCCCAAAATTAGCTAAAGTGTACTTTAGTTTATTTCCAAATTTCCTTGAAATTATTTAATGACGGTTTATTTCCTCGATTTCTAACCTCAGTTTAATTCCAAATTTGTTTGATATATATAATGGTGTTATATTTTTTTGGATTTTCCAAAATTAGGTGATATTTAGATCTTAGTTTAGTTCCAAATGTCGTCGAAATTATTTAATGCTCCCACATTTTTTGGATTTCCGAAAATTAGCCCGCATTTACACTTCAGCTTCAGTCCAAATTTCCCAAAATTAGTTCATATTTACACTTTAGCAGATGCTCAAATTTTCGTTTCAAAAAATTATTCATTCATTCAAAATTTCTTATCGGTAAGTTAAAACTACCCAAAAACAATAACTTATTATTTGCTTTATTTTAAATCAAAATTACTTAAAAATTAGCATTTGCAAATCTTCTGGTCCTGCGTCGATTGTTTACAAATCAAATTTGCTGACATTTCCCCAATCATCCTGTTGGAGGAATCCAGAAAAGTTCTGAATAATATTACGGCAGCCTGTAGAAGTTTCTTTGAAAAATTACTTAAAAATTATTTTATTATTAGTGTTTCAAAAATACTACACATTTGTTTCAGTTTAAAACCCAAATTGCTCAAAAATGTGTTGTTTCAAATTTCGGTAAATACTAGTCAAAAAAAGCGCAACAAGTGTCATACATTCATCATATAAAATTTAAATTTTTCAAAAGTAATTTCAAAGTTTCTCAAAAATATTTTTATTTAAAACAAAATTAAATTTTACAAAATCAAATCAAGCGTCTGAGGAACGATAGTCTTCACCTTACATAAAGTTAGGTTACCTTTCCGCGAAATAGCATAAAATGCAATCGGATAATTGAACGTAAAATAGTTACCTCACATGTGATAGGAAAGCATGAAAAATGCGTTCTGAGATAAAGGTTTCGTTTTTTACCTCACAAACGAAATTAAATATTTACAACTTAGTGGACTCACAACCTAAAAAAAATTCAAAATTTGCCATTTTCGAATTACTAGATTCAAAATTAACTTTCGACTGCTTGTACGATCAATGAAAATAGTCTTGGCATTAATCAGAAAATTTTATTTACTTCAGGTTTGTCCGCCATTTTCGCTCGTTTTTTTTTTGTTTTAATTACGGCGTGTCACGAACGCAGCAGTTTTATAGTTTCGAATCTCTTTCGCCTTGGCGAGATTCGCTACAAATTCCGCCACCTAGCGGCGAAGTTTCTAACCTCCACCAGAAAGAAGATCGATTATGCTAACCCACGCGATCGCTTTTTTCTAAATCGCAACTAGCATCGATGTTTTTAGGCTACGCCGCCAGATGGGTCTGCCGTCTTTGGTCCTTCGAGCCGGTCAAATCGATATGAACAACAACAAGCATTACTAAATTTATTCTAATATTTACATCGTATAATACACTTATATACAGTTTTTTTTTAATTTAAGGAAGGAGGAAACAGCTGCTATTTTCCTTAATAAAAATGCACGGCTCACTCTCAAACTACCCTTTGTTTTTCTCCACTAATCACAAGTACTCCTCGAGACTGTACAGCGTGCTAAATTGCTCGACCGCCTGGTACTCTATAATAAATCCCCTCCCTACGTTTCTGTCGTCCGTCTGGAACCTCACCAGGAGGCTGTCCTCGCTGGACGTCATATCTGGCGGCGCCTGGCGTAGAACGACAACTTAGATCTCATTCGTAGACCCCAAACAACTCACCTTCGATCCGCAAAACTTTCCGATCGAAGTACCCCGACTATCGGCACCGTCGAACACCTCCAAATAGTCGTAGGAGCAGTCGTCCTCGGACTCCATGTCGAACGCGGCGAAAGAAATGTACACGCTGTAGCCGCCCCCTCCTATTATCACCCAATCGCACTTCGCCATGTTTTCGTACTGATCCACGCCGTAACTCGTATGGGAGAAAATCTTCTTCTTTTCCTTTTTGGCTTGCAAAACGCCCCCGCATATCGTCGAGTAAGTGGCGAAGAATCCTTTCTGCTGCACGCTCTTGTCCGACCTGAACGTCATGTAGAGGTGGTTCTCGGAAGATATGATGAGGTACGGCATCATCGAGCCGCAGAAGGTGTCCAGCTGCCTCGAAACCGAAGAATCTCCGTCGAAGATCTGAAAGTATCTTATCCTCACCCCGCAGACCGGCTTGCTTTCCGGGCTTACCTGTACGAAGTCGTAGTAGCATTCCGCGTGGTTTTCCAGGCGGAAATTCATGAAGCCCAGCCGTATCCTGTGACCCGGAAGCGTGGATATATGCCACGCGCAATCCTTGGAAGCCGGATAGTACTTGGGGTAGTTCGGGCTGCTGATGGTACCATATGGGGGGACCGAGATGCTATGGACGCAGTCCCCTTCCTTGCAACTCCGGCCATTTTCGTGTAGGACGAAGCCGGTCCTACACGTGCAATAGAACGAACCCAAAGTGTTGGTGCAGTCGTGGTCGCAACCGCCGTTCTGAACGGAACACTCGTCGTGATCTGCACCGGATGGCTCATCATGGTGAAATCAATGCAGGCCATTTTAACTCACCGATGTAATAGATGACCGCGAATCCTGTCTGCTGGAGGTTGTCGTCCGACACGAATTCGATGGCCAGTCTGTTGGTATCCGAAACTATCAAGCTGGGCGTTTTGGTGCCGCAAAAAGTACCGTGCTCGTTGACATTCCCGTTACTCAACTTGCTGTAGACGCTGACGTGGTCGTAGTCGCATATCTGCTGCACGTAGTTGTTTCCCTCGAGGTCGAAGTGGGTGAAATTGACAAAGACCTTGTGGTGAGGTGGCGCCCTAACTTCCCAAGTGCACTGTTTGTTTGACGGGTACAGTTCCGGGAAGGAGGGAGAAGTAATGGTGCCGGTGGTGGCGTTGAACAATCCTCCGCAGGCATCTGATATGCGAATTTGTTACCTCAATAGTACCAAAGCTCCCAGATTCACGAGCGACTTACCTACGCAGCTCTTGCTGTCCGAATGCAGCTCGAATCCGGGGTTGCAGGCACAATGGTAACTTCCCAAAGTGTTGACGCACATTTGTTCGCATCCGTGATTGGTCCTAACGCATTCGTCATACTCCGCGACGACCTTGGCGGAAAACCCTCGAGACCTCGTAAACCGATCGCTCCTGAACTTTACCCACATGGTATTACTACTTGATAACACGTGAGGAGGTCCAATAGGACCGCAGACTGGCTCCAGAATGGGGGAACTTTCGTTCAAACCGTCCCTGACTTGGACGTGGACGTAACTGCAGTTCGGGTAGTACTCGTTTTCGAAGGAGAGGAACTTCAGAGCCACCTGGTACGTGTCTGGAACTGTTATTTTCCACACGCAATTTCTGTTGGGTCTGTAACTATCAGGGTAGTCCGGAGACTCTATATACCTAAAATTTTTAAAATTCTCCTCTGGTGCGCTCCGAGAGTTTTCCCACTACTCACCCCTCGGAGGATATTTTCAACTCCCCGCCGCAGTAAACATCGAAACTAGCGCTGAATCCCTTATACTCCCTGACATTTTTCGCAACGTACGTGATCAGCATTCTATTGGTGTTCGACTTGAGCACCGCGCTGTCTAATCTTCCGCAGAACGTACCCAGAATAGGAGACTTGTACCAATAGCCGTCCCTAACCACCAGATAGTCGGTTTCGCAGTTATCGGACTTTAGGATGTCTACCGAGCGGATATTGAGCACAATACGTTCCCCTGGAGTCCCAACTATCCTCCACTCGCACTTCGCAGTACCTTCCTCGACGGACGTTGAGGAAAACATTCCGGATTGGGTATGAAATGTCTGACCACATTCTAAAATCAAAAACCTATATGTCGGTGGTCTAGGCGCGAAGTATAATCACTTGCTTGGACATTTGTACAAGATGTTGGCCTGCGTTACGTCTCCCCTGCTCAAAGCGTCCCTTTGTCCGATTATAGGGTTTTTCTTGGCATCGGGAGATTCGATGATCTGGATAGTATCTAGGTATTTGCTTTTCGAGTAGGTGTTACGCGCGTAGTGCATTATAGACCCGAAGTCGTACTCCAAGCCTAGCGACGTCACCTGGTCCACCATCTTGTTAAAGTTCGACTCCTGACCTGCAAGACGCACTGCACGCTCACTTCTACTGAATATATTTCAATTTTCTAAGTGCTAACAGAATATAAAGAAGGTTGTGGATAAAAGGGCTTGTTTCTGAACTGACCTGGGATGATGTTGTCCTTGATAACACGAACGTAGTTGTCTCGATCGGGACGAGTGTGCTCGTGGTAGTAGCCGAGCGCGTGTCCAATTTCGTGGACAATGATACCGAACTGGGCGCAGTCAGGGCCGACGCTCAGAGCTTGAGCCCCTATCCTTCTGTTTCCGACGAAGGAACAGCAACTACGATATGAGATTCCAGCATCTGCTCTTCCTTTTTTGAGGTTAAGACTCACCCGCATGGTCTCTCCGTGAAATATATGTAGTCCTGCTGCTCCTCCGGGTTCCTCTCCACGAACTTGAGGCACGTGTAGTTCTCCCAGTGGCGCATCGCCTCTTTCGCCAAGGACTTGCGCACGGGGCTAAAATTTTCATCGAATTCGTAAGGCACCACCCCGTAGTCCCAGAGGCGTTCCTTTAGGGTAGTCGCCGCGGCACGTCTGGGTCGTTTCTTGGAGCTCCTAGAAAGCAAAACGTGAGCTAGAAAGTTTTTACGGTCAGTTTATCATCACTCACATTTTCGCGTTGTGTAGTACTTTGCTCATGAGATGCTGTTGGGTAACTATGGGTTTGTCGACGAAGCGGCTGATGCTGTACAGCTTCTCCGTGTAGTACCCATGTTCGCGACTGCTTAGGGGCGAAATACCTGGAAATTAATTAATTAAATATAGTTATGGAACGGTTAATATTGTTGGTAACTTGACCACGGTAAAAAAAATTGATTCTCCCTGGTAAAACAATCTCCCTCAACCCTCTAACAAGAGCACACGAACTGCCCAATCTTCAATAAAGACCAGAAATGTGAAAATTTCAGCTCAGGTGAGGACCTATATGAAGTCCCAGGAATTTTGTATGATTTGGATGGGATTTTCCCATAAAGTCGAAGCAGCAAAGACTCTGTGTTATTGGAAGTTTTAGAAGATACCGTCGAACCTATTTTTCTGGCTTTTACTTTCAAATTTCTCAGCAAACACCAGTTTTTTTTTTATTATGGGTCCCAGAATGTAGCCGTGTGGTATCCCTGTCTATATTATCACATACTGTTTGACAAATATGATTTCATGGACTCTGCCGCAGCCGCTCAATAATATTTTGGAAAAGGAGAAAAGTTAAAAGCAATCTTGGAAGCTCGGAGACACAAATTTAAGATCCAAATCTCATTTTACCGAATGCATAGAGAGAGACTATGCCAATTTAAAGATACTGCATATGACGATAAGATGAAACGGTTTGGAGGAGCCTACTGCCAAGCATCTTATAAACTTGGCGGCTTTATGTGAACCATGTAGTACATTATTAATATGTGCATATTAATTTTCTAGATGTTCTATTCAATTGATTAATTATTATACTTTGCAGGGTCAGAACCTTGATCTCTTCTAAAATTATCTTCTGATCAATCTTTTAACATGTTTTACACGTTATAGCGTTAAAATAATTAATACCACACCATCCAGAATCTTCTGCCATAGTCCGGTCAAAATTCAACAATGCAACGGATGATTATATAAGAGTAATATAACCTTAATAGGTTATTTTTTATCAAATTGTGATCGGCAATTAACAATAAACAACTTTTTTTTTTCAGCAAAAGAAAATTCCGTATATTAGGGTCAATCATTTTGATAGGCTCGTAAGGACAAACAGATTTTTCCATGACTTTCGCCTCCAATAAAACCTCAATTGATAAAACCCTAATTAACGATTATTTATAATTGATCCACTTTCGGTTGAATAACATCTGGTCGATTCCGGATAAATTTGTTTTGCTTGTGTTCCGCTTTTCGTAGTCGGACGTCCCTGCAAATTTTCCGTGGTCTAAATTTTTTAAAGATGACCGGATTCTCCTCCCTAGGCGAAATCGTAAACAAATAACGTAGAACAACTCGCGAGTGATTAAAATAATTTTTAATTTAACATTTAATCTTTCGTGTGGATAATTGTATTTCGGTTTGGAGTCCGCGATAGGTTATCGTATTTCCTAGTTTTGAATACGTTTTAATTGCGCCGCTTTTTAGGGAACTCGGTAACGAAAATAGCCGGTCGATAACGCGCCTAGAGCCTTGGAAAGTGACTATTTTTCTTTTGTTCTGGGTTTGGCGAAGGCAAAACTTTCCACAACCTCACCTTACGGTGCTCCCCTGACTGAAACTTATCCTGTAGTCTTGAGTCTTGAACCGAAACTTATGCTGTGGTCCATAAAGAATTGAAAAAATAGTATCTGATGGCATTTACATGGTAAGTGATTATTCCGTATTATATTGCACAGTTTTACACAAATGACGTACTAGATATAACATTTTATAAGACATTTTTACTTATTTGGGTTCTCTTATATTTCTAAAACTATTAAAAAAACATATAAAAATGCAATCAGAAAAAAAATCAAAGCTTATCGACACAAACATTTTTATTAACACTTGCGCATTAAATTTAAAATTATTATTATTTATTAATTTAATTATGTATTAATTTATTAATTCGCACTGCAGTTACCCGCTAGTATAGGTGAACGGTCTAATCCCATGTCTGTAAAGTATGAATTTTATTTAAAGTGATGTGAAGTATCCCCAAGTAAAAAAAGTTCACTAACACCAAAAGGAGAGTAAGAAAAATTGAAAAAAGATGAACAGGGATATAAATCAATGGCATACTGAGGGAAAGAGACAAAGGATGAAGATATACAAGAAAAGTTAGCAAAAGTAAGGAAAGTGCGATAGAGGATAGAAAGAACTGACTGAAAGTATCCCCATGTATGGAAAGTATAGAGAAAAGAAACTTGATTCTAAGTTCAAAAATGAAGAGAAAGAGCGAGAGAACAGGTATTGGAAAGGAGACGAGAAGAAAGAGTGTATACTATGCAGGCTAGGGAAGCAAAACCATCGATCATGTTTTGAGAAAGTACGAGAAACTGAAAAAATAGGAGAATGGATATAAATGAACAGCAGATTGGAAGAAAGTGACAAGAAAATTTAACGAAAGCAACTGATGACATAAAATATTCCCAACTATGTAAAGTATCAAGCGAAGAAACTTAATTGTAATAAGTATTGTTATGAGACGAGAAGAAAAAGTGTATACTATGCAGTATCATCATATCACATATGTTGAGGAAGTACGAGAAACTGAAAAAACAGAAGAATTGATATAAATGAATAGTAAATTAGGAGAAAATTTGGCGAAAGTATTCAAAAGCGCCATATAAGACATGAAGAACTAATGGCATAAAGTACATCCCCAAGTATGGAAAGTATCAAGCAGCGTAAGTTGATTGTAAGTTCATTAACAAGTATTGTTATGAAGAAGAGAAGAAAGAGTGTATACTATGTACGCTAGGAAAGCAAAACCATCGATCACCTTTTGAGAAAGTACGAGGAACTGAAAAAAGAGGAGAATAAATATAAACGAATAGTAAATTGGGGGAAAATGACAAAAGGCGAGGATATATAAGAAAATTTGGTGAAGGTAATCAAAATCGCGATATAAGATATAAAGAACTGTTGACCTAAAGTATATCTCCAAGTATGGAAAGTATCAAGCAGAGTAAGTTGATTGTAAATTCATTAACATTACGAAGAATAAAAGAAGGAGTGTTTACTATGAAGGCAAGGGAAGCGAAACCATCCTACGTATGTTGAGAGACTAGGAGTGAGAGGCTAGAGAAGAAACAAACAAGTGAAAGTAATGAAAGAAAAGAAAAGGAAATAAGGTGCAAAGAAAATTGTAACAGGTGTGGGCAACGGAAGCAAAACATATGTGTAAAGAGTCCGTGGAACTAAAAAAACGAGAAGACATAGAGGTTATGGAAGTAATCTACGTGTGAGGTGTGCAGGAGAAGAGCAAGGAGCCAAAAAAAACAATATTTTGACTTTTATATGTTATTCGTTCATAGGTATCATAAGAATGTAGTAGTGTTTTCCGAACTGGGAGGCGCGGACTAGTCTAAAAGGAGGCGCGAAGATTATCCAGAATTGCTAACGAAAAGTGCATATCCATTTCATTAATGGACAATAATGATATACTTTTATTCATTTTTCCTAGCGTATAAGAGTATATCTTAATAAATTTTTAACTATTAAAAATTTTTGTGTTTGTAGTATTTTATAAAATGGAACAGAAACGTCGTATGATCTACTATTTTTAAGGGAACCGTGGTAAAATTAAGTTTGAAAACACAGCCCAACCTTCACGACCACCGGTAAATTCAAACAAAACGTGAACGACAGTCATTATACTTACGAGCCTTGCAGGGGTTGAGGCCGCCGTCACCGGACACTTTCCTGGGAAAACTCTTCGTCAGCAGGTCTTCTATGGTGAAACTGGTCGCACGACCGGTACCGTCCGTGGTCAGCACCCGCGCCGCCAGTAGAACCGAGACTAGTACGAACAGCATATCGTCGAAATTCAAACTGGAAGCAGGCACGCCGTTAACCGAACTATTGGCTGTCTTAAACACCGGTCACTGGTAGCAAATTGTCTCTGCGTTTGTCGAAAAACGTCAGGTATCATTTTGAGAACGATCGTATCGCGAAACCAACGGCTCGGTCGGTCGTACCACCCGATGCTTCGTCGGGTTAAAAACGCACCAAGATATGCCGACTTGGACACAGATGTTTCTATCTAAGCCCCGCTTTATTGCAGAGTTGTGACCTTTTTTATCTTAACGCTCGTTAATTGGAGCTGATAGCAATTAATGGAGTTCCCAGGGTCGGACGAGCCCGGGCGCGCGCGCGTTTTTTGTTTATTTATTTTTGGGCTAACGGCGGGCCGGTCGGGGAACCCTGCAGAACGCCCCCACATCATAGCAATCCTTTTAAATATTCTAAGGGCACTTAGGTTCCAATACAGTAAATATTAACGAAACTTTTGTCACACTGTAGCTATTTTTTTATCAAATAAACAGTTCTATTCTTCCTGTTAATCAAATTAATTAAACTGTGTATTTTTAAACCTTTATACTTCTGAAGGTACTATTTATTAATAAATTTCAAAGATTGCAATATCGCAGACTGCCTTCGCGTGCGCTTGGAATGTGATTTGATATTGACTGCATAAGCGTTTCTGATGCTAGAATAAAAGGAGATAAACATTCATCAAAACGTAGGTCCGAAAATGCTTACTTCTCAATATACAGGGCGTGCATTATTTAAAAAAAACAACTTGTGCCAAAATCCGTCCTTTTTCTTTGGTAGTAAATTTTTTCAACCAAAAACAAAAAAGCTAAAATCACTCAAGAGCCAAGAAAATTGAACTTATCCTGGTTTATTCGGAGCATATAAAAATATACAAAAAAATCAGTGGCGTACATCTCTTTAAGAATAATATTCGTTATAAACCCCAAATTTTAACAAAATCGGGCAAAAAATATTAAACGTATCGTAATAAAGCCGTTGTTTCCTTAAAATTCAACAACCACGCAAAAATTTTGAAACCTTGACTTGGAAATGTGTTTTTCTACTCCCGTCTGTAAAATACCTAATTACACACCGATCTAGCAGGCGGGAAGTGTCACTTTACCACGTCAGTTTCGTTTCCCACGAATCCGAGCCGTTTCGGACATTTCCGGGATTTTACCGCACGGATTTGGGAGCAATCGTTTTTTTTTTCGGAGATATTTCCCACGCTTTCAATTTTGACGTTTGTCAATTCTGACGGTCATGTCAGTGAACGTATTCGTGTTGTTTTGTGAAAATGTGCCCGAAAACTAACGGTAGTAGAAAAAGTATAGTATGCAACACGTTCGATAAACTTTTTAACTCACTCGTTTATTAAAAAACTCGCTCCGCTCGTGTCAAATAAACTCGTGAGTCAAATGCCGTTTACCGCACTTGTTGCATAATATACTATTGAACTTTTCTCTTTAAGTATGTGCGATTTGTTATATCCTGTACAAATGAATTTCGGTGGCTTCAAAATTGGTAGATATATACTGACCGAGTGGGATAACAGACTCTCGATAGCGCCGCCGTCGGTACGATACTGTCAATCTTCAATTGTTTTTATCCAGTGAAAGTTGTCACTTACGGAAATTGCCCGAGCGGTCTGCATTATCGGCACTCTTACAAGTTGTTTACTAGGATAACGAGCGCAAAATACGAGAACTGGGTTAGTTGCGCGGGAATTGGCGGGAGGGAGCGTCTGAGCCAGCTCATAGTACAATTTTAGAAGCTTCGAAATTGTCTAGAACTTTGAAAAGACCTGGAATACTCACCCGTAGCAGGTAGATTAGGGATAATCACCACACCTGAATCGCACCGTAGGTTCTAAACTGTTCCGTGTCGGTCGCCGAATGGTTTCAAGATGCTGTACTCGCTTAAAAGGTCATTAAGTCACCGTGATACTGGAAAATCCCCTTACAATAGTTTCTGATTTTGATTGGGCGTTCCGTGTTGAAGCAAAGAAGCATACCTTTTTTTTTAATTTCAACGTTTTTAAAATCACTAGTTTAGTTTAAATTACTTGTTTATTTATTAAAAGAAATAACACAATTTTAATACACTAATTATATCGTTCTAAACCTCAAAATTATAAAATAAAAAATAATATCTAAAAAGCGGTAATCTAGGGTAAAGTAATAAGTTCGAGAAGACATTTCCTCTTCCTTTTAGAATAATAGAAACTAATTCCTCGATTATTACCTCAAATTCCTTAACTAATCCGATTAATTCGTATTTATTTTGACAAAAGGTCACAGGATAGGAGCAGTAGTGTTGGACAGAAGTGGACCTCCAGGTTCTTTTCTGGGACTTTCGTTCTTCAAAGATCTGAGCCTTCTGAAGTTTTACAGAAGTTAAATAGAAGTTGAGAAAAGATTGCAGTATCCTCACATAAAATCCACATAAATCGGCCATTATTTATTTCGGACGGTTGAAATTTCAATCAATGTTAAACATGTTAAAATACCGGTTGTTTCCGAATACAAAAAGTCGGATGTTATTTTTAATAAAAAATTAAGGTTCAAGACTCATGTTTCTGAAAATATACGAAAAAGTTATTGTAAGTTAAGGAACTCGCACAAACTTATATTTGGTCCCTGTTTGGATTTGGTCCCTAAAGCCAAACTACAAATACTGCAAAATTCATGTATCCATCTCATAAAATTCAAAGACCATTTAGGCGAAAAGCTGAAAGAATTACGCTGGCTTAACACCGCCGATGGACGAAAACTTCACCTAGCCTCCTACTCTTCATAATCGTTGTACGCGTTTTAACAATCTTTATGAGATACCAAAAGTGCACAAAGCTTGTCTTAGAATCCATTTTCTTAATTGTCTGCTACTTTGCAAAACCATCTTTTAAACAATATTTTAGAAAAAAGCTGTCAATGGAAAATATATAGTAAGTTACACTTTCGTAGTTTTATTAAATATAGATTAGCGGTGTCAGTTTTATTGCTTTAATTATTGTTCTACTATTTTAAGTTTTATTTTTGCCAAACTTCAACAATATTACATTTGTCCCATATTTATTATTGTTGTTAACATATTGTAAGCCTCATTGTAAGGTGATTTATGGATTTTTTTATTTGCTTCATATACTAAGACTAATACCTCGACTATTACTACTAATTCCTGGAATAACGTCACTAATTCTAATAACCCCTCTACTAATGCCACTAATTCCTCTACTAGTATCACTAAATCCAGATAAGATTTGTACACCAAAATTCCTTCAGTGAAAAAATCAACATTAAACAACCACGTAAAAGTACTTCAATTTCGGTGTTTTAGAATTCGAAGTGTTGGACTAATATTCATCCTTCCTCCACAAATTTTTAGTATTTTTATATACCTAAGTTTTTTTTAAATAAATTTTTATTTTTGTAACAAAAACTTGTCGTAAGAATTAGTTGATATTAGAGGTATACATCAGGGTACAGATTTTTGATTGCTCTGTACGCTTCGGTCAGGGCAATAATTTTCATTTTTAGAATGTAGTACTAGCCATAACAACCCAAACGTTCTCGTCTCTAAAAGATCACATTCCGTTTATGCCGTCATACCTTGTCTGTACCTGGCTGTCCCTAGATTGTAAACCAGCTGCAAATAAGGAAATTTATTCTGGTTGTATAACCCTAAATCGGATCAATGGTTATAAATAAAGAGCTGAGTATATGCGTCGCACCCATTCGGCGCAACTGCCCATGTCGCGTAATAAGATTGTAGTGTTTCACCATCTGGACATTTTATGTATCGTTAATGTAATGGATATACCATTTTTCCATTTGTCGATTGAATGTAATACAATGAGTTATCTGTTATTTATTCAGCCTTAAGTCGAGAAAATAAAGAAAAATAGGGAAAACTTGGTATGTCCTTTAACGTTATACTTTCCATGTAAAACAAATAATTAAACATGTCATGGTCTGAAACCTCTTATTTTGCATGGGTTTTCTGACTTGTGTAAGTTTAACGACAACTGACCATTTCAACAATAATTTAACGAATTAAAATTAGATTTTTATTAAATAAAATCAAAGTTGTTGACACCTTTTGAAGAAAAAAATTAATTTAAATCGATGACACAAGTTATTGATGACAGCCAGGGTTATTGTCGCGACCTCTATTGAAGTCAACGAAAAACACGATAATCCAGATCTATCCGCTTTATTTATTTTAACTGACACAATCAATTGAAACCCGAACACAATATTCAGAAGTTGGGAATGTTTAAATTACAATAATAATAAGTAAATAACGCATAACAAAAGTGCTCTTTGCCGCGACTGTCTCACGAACTATGACCACCGCCCCATAGATGGCGCGCACGACTACGTTTCAAAAGCTGCCCGCTAGGTAACGCCACGAACCTCTTTAACCGATTTAATCGAATCCACGTAGATCAACTAACCTAACCGAGACTCAAGAGATTATCTCCGCTTTAATTGTAAGGTAAACGTAGAAAATCGCGATAACGTTTCGCCGTGTAACGCAAATATGGCGGACGAGAAAGTGCCGATTCGCTATTCGACGCTGACGGGCGCCCAAATCCAGGTCGGCGCTGCCTTCACGAGCTTATTCGGGCGCGACCCGGATTTCTACGCCAGGGTACCCGGAAGGTAAGTCGGCGGTGGCGCTGCCGCGCGTTGTTCTCGACAATTTTGCACGCAGAGTGAATCTTATCGGCGAGCATATCGACTACTGCGGATACGGAGTGTGCCCGATGGCGCTCAATCAGCACATCTTTATAGCGGCCTTCGTTACCGACAGCGATCGGACGCTGGAGCTTCGAAATTTCGACGCCAAGTACGAGAAATACCGTTGCGACTTGAACGATATCGAGTAAGTCCTCGCGTCACCTACAGGGTGTTTGTCAAACGTCTGTAAAGACGGGAATATTTGACGTATGGATGTCCCAAAGTATATTGGAAGACGTCGATCAATTACCTGTTCAGGGACGGACTTCTATGGCGTTTTAAAAATATATAGACGGTGACACTGATATATACAATTCATCGTTAATTACCTAAATCATATTTTCATCTAAAAATTATTTCACTCTCAGGGTCGTCATTAACGTTAATTGCAGTGGTCTTTATATTATTTTGTATACAAATGTTGCAGTTGTAAAAATATTTTTCATTAAATTTATTACTAGCAGAATTAAAGTAGGAGTAACATTTACTCTTCTAGCATTGGATTTTATTTGCTGCCATAAATGTCTACTATCAGGTACATAGCATTATGACTTTAAGACTTTCAAAACTTGTCCTTTCTCATAACTGCTAACAAATAACATTTTTTACCAAATATTCATTCTCACTGTTATCATATCTTCACCATTGTCCAGACGATGAAATTGAAATTTACTACGTTTTTTCTTTCATTGTATAATTCACGTAGACAGATTTATATTAAGACCTATGTTTAATGAAATTTCTACTTACTAAATATTTATACTCATTTTTCACAATTTGCTTTGCATCTAATGACATTTGATTTAAAACGGCCACTGCCACTAATATCAGGCTACACTTGATCGACATCTACCTGACTCGCCACTGCCTTGTCACTTAATTCTGAATAAAGGATTAGTTATTTGCTTTACTCAGTAACAATAGGTATGAAAGTTGTGGTCAGTTTTTGGGGATGGTCCGTCAAAAGCCAAGACGATGTACTTCGAAACACACCATACATAACATTTGTTGGATGTCGTTACTCTCAAACGCTCGTCGTTGCCACACTTAAAATGTCAAATATTACAGGGTGTCTCGCGATTGGTGAAACATTATAAACGTTTTGGTGAGAGGGGGCATAAAAACATGCAGTGATGCCGATTGTATCGAAGAGTACCCACAACTTTGACGTTTTTACATATTGTAAAAACGTCAAAACTATATCTAGTTGTACATGTTCTGTACTCTATGTACTAACTAAGCAGCTAGTACGTAGAGTATGTGTCGATAGCTAATTCCTACGTGAGTGTATCGGCTAAAATACGTCGCCTTGTCAGCATGCTTATTTAGATTGATTATATATCACAAACATCATTGCATTTAATATAATGGAATATTTTTTATGAAAAACATCCCTATACGTGTAGGTTTATCAATTGCCATATTTACCAGTAACCTAGGTAATAGTTCTACAGTTTTACAGTCATACACCAAATCGACAAGTCATTTTTTAAATTGTTATTTATACCCTGTGTATTTTGAAATATTGTCATAGATAATTAACAGCACGTTCAATTCATATCTCATCTCATTTAAGAAATGAAGAAACATGTATCGAAATGATTGACAATTAAGATTATTAAAAAAAAAATTGTTTTATGGGGTCCCAAATAGGAGGTGCTGTTTTGGCTCTTTCAATTAACAAAATCTCAAGATTTTCAAATGGAACATATATTTAAATTTCAGATATTCGAGGTTTAAGATAACACCTGTATAAATTCTTGTTGAATTTAAAGCTGCTCACATTAGGTCACTTGTTGGCAATATTAGGTATTTTTTATTTAGCAAAGACATGATACTTGACATGAAATTTTGAAAAATATCGACTCTATTCATATTTTGAGAAACATTCAATAGTTAGTTAATAGTTAATTATCTAAAAAACGTAACAACTATAAACTTTTTAAATAGAAATATGAAAAACAGCAAAACCATATATATTAATGGACACCCTGAATTGTTAGCAATAGATTTTTTTCGTATATCTGGAGTATTATGTCTTTAAAGGAAGTAGTATCATGTCTTTGCTATTTAAAAAATACCTAATATTGCCAACAAGTGACCTAATGCTTTAAATTCAACAAAAGTATATGGGTGTTATCTTAAATCCCGAATATCTCAAAAAGTAAGTAAAATTTAAATAGAATTGATATCTGAATAAAAATACAGTATGTTCCATTTGAAAATTTTGAGATTTTGTTCATTGAATTTGCGAAAACGGCACCACCTATTTGAGACACCCTGTATAAGCTGAGGCGCATCTATCAAATTGTAGTAGCGCAGCATCTGCTTAGTCTGTGCTTAAATATACGTTGCAATATCAGGATCAGTAGCGTCACAACACAATTTTATATGGGACAATCAAAATATGAAAAAAAAACACATAACCTTAATGTCTGCCTAAATTATGCAAAATTTGAAGTGAATGAAAGTGACCTTCCAAGGATTCAAAAAATGTCGAAATATATAGGATGTTCCATTTAAAATAACAAAGTTAATGTGAGCGGCACAATTTTGGGATACCGTGTGCCAAAAAAATTATATTTTAAATCTTCAGGACAGTCCAACAAACTTTTGTACGAAACTTGTTTCCGTATTTCCTATGGGTTTCCAGATCATATAATGGACAGTTTTATTTGCACACAGTGTACATGATCTATTTACTAAAAGCCCTTTTAATTACGTCTTAAAATGTTTGATAATAAACACATTATTCCATTTGAGAAAAAAAACTTTTGCCAATTTTGTGTACATTGCAGAAGTTATTGCTCTCTCTTTCAGGCGGAAAATATATGGAAATATGAAAAATAATTAATACCTCGAAAACCACCAGGGCAATGTTTTTCAAAAATGTGGTGGAGGTGCAAAAATGGAACAATATTCAGATATTTAAAAGTTGAAGCTACTTTTAGACACAAGCGATAACGCTGCGCTGCTACTGACAGTATCTTAGATCGATCGGGTCAAAAAGCAACGTCACCTTGAGACACCCTGTACACTTCAACTATTGCCTCAAAGTTAGTCAGTTAATTGTTGTAATTGTGTAAAAATGTTGGAGTTATTATTTCAGAATTACCGTGGAGGGTAAGGCACCCCATTGGTACCAATACTTCCTATGCGGGGTCAAGGGGGTGTTGGAGGCATTACCGATGGAAAATGTGAAAGGCTTGAGGGTGATGGTAAGCGGAAACGTACCGCAAGGGGCGGGGTTGTCTAGTAGCAGCGCACTTGTGAGTGCTGCCGCACTTACTGCGGCCTATGCGTTTGGGGTAAGTCCGATTGGTTAATGGTTAGACTTGCGTTTGAAGACGAGCCTATTCGGGGGGTGATTTCAAAGACCTGTGACCTCAAATAATACACTACAAATAACAATGTGGTATTCGCTTTGTTTTGCAAGGCAATGTTATTCGGAACTTGCTTGATCCTATTCCCTACAAACTACATTCGAAGTATATATTCTTCTTTTTCTTTTTTTTTTATAAGGCTTTTGCCTTGTACTCTGTAGTCAGAACCGTAGCTGGGAAGATGAACTCCAGCTCTCATGCCATCGTATGGGGGACGCCCAGGAGGTCTACTCGATCTTGGGAGACCATTTCTTCCAATTTTCGGTAGTCTGTGGTCATCTATCCATTCAACATGATCTCTCCATTCTCGCCTTGTGTTTGGGGACCGTCGTATAATATCAAGGTGGGTCCCTCAGTATGTAGCCTGTTATAAATCTTAGAGTTCTCGTCTCTACTGTTCTGAGGATTCTTTTTGTTGAGTTTTCCGCTCTTATATATGCGAGTTTTACCTTCTATGGTCATATGCTTGTTTGGCAATATTACATCTCGCAGGTACCCTGCTATTAAGGCTACCTTGGTTGTTTGGCATTGTACTTCTTTTTGGAGATCTCCTCGTGACGCTGACGCCGAGATAATTAAAAGTGACTTAGATTTTATTACCGATATCTCTATGGTGTACTTGGAGGCGATGTTTTAGAACTTAAAGAACATTCTCTGTAGATTATCTTTATCTTCCAATATGAACACGACATCGTCCGCATAGCAGATTATCTTTATTTCTTTGTTGTCTAGTCTGTATGCCGTTCCAATCTTCTTCACTTCAGATATTAGCTGATCCATAATCAGATTGAAAATGATAGGGCTCAGGCTGTCGCCTTATCTTATTCCTGTCTGCATGGGTGTTTTGCGTGTTTTTCTGCACTCCTTTTGTATTTGGATCATATTTTCAAATACGATCTTTATTAAGTCTGGGTGCACACTCTTTTTCTTGTCTGACAACATCAGGGAGTCTTAATCGGTCAAATGCTTTTGTGAGATCTATACAATCTATAAATCATATAGGCTGTATTGTATTTTATAGGCTTTTCAGCAATCTGCCTGATTGTAAAGATTGCTTGCTTGTTGCTCTTCACAAAGCCCACGAGAAGATATTTCGTCCGACAGGATTTTGGTGAATAACTTCAGTATTGAGCTTAACAGCGTAATTCCCCGATAGTTTGCTGGGTCCTTTCTGCTTCCTTTCGTAAATATTGGGATGGTTATGCTTTCCTTTCATTCAGTTGGTACTTCATTGGTCTAAATTATTTTGTTAAAGAATACGCGCAGCTTCTTTAATAGTTCCTCTTCTCCGTACTTCAGCAACTCGTTAGATATTTCATCTTCTCCAGCAGACTTGCGGTTTTTTAGTTTGACGATTGTTTGTTCAATTTTCTCCTTAGACACGGTCCACGGTTTCTGAGGGATGCTAAGGTTGTTTGTTCTCAATGTGTACTGCATTAGTGTCAGGGCTGTAGAGTTGAGGGAAGTATTGTTCCCAGCGATTCTTCCAAATCTTCTTCAGGCCTCCTTAAAGGTCATGTTCCATGTCTGCCGAGAACTTTTTCTAATGTGCTCAATTTTAGTGTTTAATGTGTTTTTTACGAGCTTGTATTGATCAAGTGTTAGGTTTCGTGATCTGTATTTTACGTATGCTTTGCGTTTTTCATTTGCCAGTTGTTTTATCTTATCTGTGAACCATGGTTTAGTGTTTAGGTTCGTAGATTTCTTTGAAATTCTTCTTCCTACCGCTTCTTCGACGGTTTTCAGAATGTTTGATTTTATTCTTTGCCAGGCAATTTCGACATTGTCAGTTTCTGTAATATGATTACTGTCAATTTTATCTTTGACTCTTTGTTGATATAGTTGTTTTGTTTATGGGAATGTCAGTGATTCAATATTGAGTTTGCCATATAATTATTTTAACCATCATTAGGTTGTGGTTGGTCCCAGCGTTGACATCTTGGATTCTGTTCGGATGATTGTTTTTGTTTGTGATTATATAGTCGATTACTGACTTCTGCCTTCTAGTGTTTTAGAATGTAAATTTGTGCTGTGGTTTGTGAGGAAAATATGTGTTATTGATTTTTAGTTCGTTAATTGCGCATATCTTCATTAAAGTGATTCATTACACCAGGTATCACACTCACCAACTTTTATTCAAGTCCTGTCCGAGGCAGCAGTATATTTACTTTGAGCACTTTCTTACCGTGAGGCAGGTCGCTAGCATTACCTGAGGTTCTCTCCTCTGTCATCCGGGTTTGGGGACCGGCTGCTATTGGAATAGGCTACTAGGTTCACCAATTCTTAATCGCAGGCAGAGTTGAATTGCCGAATTGCTGAATCTTGCCCTTAAATTACATTGCCATTGTTAACCTGTTCTATGCAATTTAAATTTTTATTAAGGTTGTTCATCTTCTTTGGACTTAAAAAGAAGACCAACAACAATCGAGCGATTCCTTTACTTTGATCTACCATTTAAGACCTATCGCCGCGAATTACCAGCCCTTCTTCTTTTAAAGTTGCCAATACCTCATTGATATAGAACCTCATGAACCACGTGCTTTAATAAAATTTCGTAAACATAGCTGGAAAAAGTTATACCTTGGCTTGGGATTGCCACTTTGATAAGTATTGCTATAGGGAATATTAATGAATTACATCAATTGTTTGACTGTGACTGAGAAATTAATAGGAGTTTCAGATGTTGCCATCGATTCAAAATAATACTAAGGAATCAGGAAGGGAGTTTCAGAAGATGGCCCTCGCGATGTAATAACTTAGATTGTGATCACGATTATTGGGGGACGTAACGGCCCTGAGGAATACGTCGAATCAATCGCTCACCGTGTATCCCTCCAGATTTACCAACTTAAACACCTCGAATACAAAATTTCACCCGTTATTATCCCACACCTGATACACGAAACCGTCTCGGTCAGTCCGAAGAGACCCTATCGTATATCCCTGGAGACTTGCGAAGATTATATCTCTCATTTACGTGATATATCGAAGTCGTTAGAGTTGAACCAAGGCACGGTCGAAAAATACGCCGACTTGACCTCAGCCGCGGTGGTCCCTTTGCATAAACATTAAACAAATCGCACCCTTAGTCCCCCCACGCGCACGCTAGAGGGTTAATTGATCGGCAACCGACGTCAAATACAAAGCTTTGTAATTAAATCGCCTGCAAAGTTGGCAGACTATATCGTACACAAAACTTTGGTTTAAGCTCTAAGTACTGGCAGGGCAAACAGATAGAATTTGAGGGGTGAAAGTTCTTTCAGGCACGGGCGGCGAACGAATGTTTGCTGCTTCAGTTCTGAAGAATCGATGTGCCTAAAAGGAATATAAGCTATAAACACAACCTCATTTGGAACCAATCAACTTTCTCCTAGAATTTAGTTAAAAATGGGTTTTATCAAGAAACTAAAATATTCAACTATTCAGATGCTATTCAGGCGCAAGTTTATAAGAATGTAACGGATAAAAGCTAAAAGAAGCAAAATATAATTAGACTAAAAAATATGTGCACTACCGTCGAAAAAGTACTCTGAGCGAGTTCTTTCAAGAAATAGAGAAATAGAGATAAGGCGAGAGTGAAGAAAGAAGATGGTAATATAATTATGGTTATCGGCTTTGTGGTTCGTTTTGAGGAACTCAACAGAGTCGATAAACATTTAAGAACAATTTTTACAAATTCATGGTTAACAAAAAGCCAGTTAAAATACGAATGTCCATTAAAGCAATGGAGAAAGGATAAAAAAAGGAAAATAGAATCATCGTATATGGAAGACTTGGTGAGTGAGTGACTTCTTTTGAGTTGCCTTAACAAACAGCTTTTAAACATTATTTGAACATGCGAAAACATTAAACTTGATAAAGAATAAACAACATAGAGTCGGTCGAGGATAAATTTTGCAAATTTGTAGTTTACAAAGTGCATGATCAATCGAAAAGGGATAAGGATAAATGAATAAAAATGTAATCGCACCAAAGGTTAATGACTACTGTGAGAGAAAAGGGAAGGAGATTTAGCTGCTTGATTATATTGTAAAAGATTTGTAGATTTCTAACCAACTAAAAAATCTGGACTACTGAGTGGTTAAAAATTTGAAATATTTAAATACACCTGTATGTAAATAAGGGATAAAGGATAAAGAAAGGACGGAAAGGAAGATTAGACGTTAATTGTTCGTTTTGACAGATAAGCATAAGGTCAGTAGGGATAAAAGAGGCATTTCTCCTTATGAAAACCGTACTAAAGGATAATGGCTACTGTTGAGTGAAAAACACCGAAGATTTGGCTCCTAGATTAAATTGAAAAGGACTCGCACACTACTAGCTTATTCCTTAAATTACACTAAGTGACTTTTTTTTGAAAGTCTGAGATAAGAAGAAAAGGTGTTTTCGAAGGCAAGTCTTTAAATATTATTTAAATACGTAAAAAAAAGGATAAGGGGGGTTCAAATATTAAAGATAGATGTGGATAGCTTTTCTTTATCTTTGACTCCATGTCAGTGCCACAATCGAAGTAACTGAATTGTGGAGTCCTGGTCGCAACTCCAGTCCAGAGTTGACCCGATTCGTAAATACTTAATCAAAGTTTCGTTTGGTTTAAAGCCTAAACAAGCCGATCGAATGGCAGACCAGCAGCCCCCCAGGCAAGTTGGCTATTAAGCGGCTTACGTAAGTGGTCAAGCCACTATCTAGAGCTCGCCATATATACTATATGTAACCGATATAATTAACCCTTTGGGGCGGCCGGATCAGTTTCCGTTCCCGAAACCGTGCACACCACTTTAACTTTCAGGTGTGGGATAACGTCGTCAAATACAGGGCGATTTTGGGTTACAGATGCCGCTGCACAAGGAAAAACTGGCCCAGCTGTGCGCGAACAGCGAACGGTACATCGGAACGCAAGGGGGCGGCATGGACCAGGCTATAGCGTTCCTCGCCACCGACGGTAAGATATTAAAACTTGAAATTATATTCCGAACCAGCCACTTAACGGAGTTATAAGCGCTTTGTGGAAGTCGGTTAAATGGCTTCGCTGCAGAACAGGATTAAACAAAGTTTTCAATTGAAATGCAAATTAGCGCTGCATCAACACGTAACAATGCGTTCTTCGTTTTAGTGGCGTCCGTGTGAACCTAGTAAAGATCTACCACAAAATTGTGGAATTTTTAATTTGAGCGCTTTGTTTTCAATATACATAGTGTCAAAGTTAGCTTTTTAAACTAAGTTATTTAAAGAAATATTTCTATAGAAATAATAATATTAATAGAAAATAATAGAAATGATAAAAAGTATGAATTGCGTTGCTTGCTTCATTTAATATGAAAATTGTTTAAAAAATCGTAAGATAAGGACAAAATTAGCCAAACCATCAACCTAACTACAAAAAATTTCCACAAATGCTGTTGTTAAGAATCGTTAAGAAACTGTACTCAGAAACATATCAAAATACACTAAAGAGATTAATCAATTCACATTTATGTATAAAAGGATTAGCTTTGACGTCGTCTTTCATATGCTCTGTCCGGAATCCCTGACGTTGGCGATGGCTATGGTGAAAGCTGTGCTATCTTCTGCTAATCGACAAAGTTCGCCTGTATTAAAATAAATAAGAACTAAAAGTTCAGATTTTCACGAAATTATATATTTTGACATGACAATTGTTTCGACAACACCCTGTCTTTATCAAATGTAATATTTATAAACTAGCTGCTACTATATATACTGAAAAGTGACCATTAAACTTTAATTAATGTTGATCATTAAGCAATACACTTGAATGTCTCATTTTGTTAATCTCCATGGCTTCCAGTAAATTTCATTTTCAATTTTTTGGTGGCTGTATGTAAAATATCACAATTGTCGTTAAAAATGTGGTTTTCTGTGTTTAAGTGTATAGCATAATTAGAATCTACTACTATTGTTTTTAAACGCTTTTTTATGTTCGTTAATGCGTTTCTTGAAGGATCTACCCGTTTGTGCAATATAAATTTTAGGACAAGATCCGCATTTCAACCTGTAGACACCTGATTTTTGGGATTTTGGACATCTCGTTTTATTGTTTTGTTTTCAAATATTTTCCTGTTGTGTTGTCAGTTCTCAAAGCTATTTTTAAACCACATTTTGACAAATGTTTTGAAACTTTTTCACTAGGTTCTGCTATGTATGTAATTGTTTTAAATTGTTCGTGTTCTGTATTAGGTTTCGGATAAATAGAGTTTACTGTTGTCTGTATTTGTTTTTTAATTATAATTTTATCTCTAATGGACGGTTGTAGCCGTTGTTCAGTGCAATTTGTTTAATGATATTAAGTTCTTTGTTGTAATTTTCTGTTCAGAGTGGCGTATTAAGAAGTCTGTGTATAAAAGAGTTAAATGCAGCCATTTTGTGTGTATAAGGGCGATTTGAGCTGTTATGTATGACTGTGTCCGTGTATGAAGGTTAATGATATATTGAAAAATCTAATTTGTTTTGCGCTTTCGTAATAGTTAAGTCTAAAAAATTAATAGAGTTATCCTGTTCAATCTCGAAAGTGAATTTTATACGATTATGTAATGAATTAATTTAATTTAAAAAAGAATTCAATTGTCTGTCCGATCCAACAAAGCAAGCAAAGACATCATCCACGTATCTATACCACCATAAAAACTTTTACTTAGAGAATGTTCTAGTATGATATTTTCCAAATTATCCATAAAAATCTCGGCTAACAAAGGACTAAGTGGGTTTCCCATAATCAAACCTTCTTTAGAGATATAAATCTGTCCACTAAATTCAAAATAATTTGGGTCTAAAGATACTATTAAGCAATCTAATAAATCTTGTTTGACCAATGGGTTAACCTGTTCCCGAATTAGGGTGAAATCTACTAAATCTATCACATCCATAGGTGGAATACTGGGAAATAAGTTTTGTACATCAATAGACAATAGTGTTGCGTTCGAAGGGATTTTGATATCTTTAATTTTGTTGATTAACTCAAAAGAATTTTTTATTGCCAATTTTGGTTTAAAATCTGTGTGGAACTTTAAAATATTTACTAATTTTGTTGAGAGTTTAACTGCTGCAGCCGTTACATAAGACACGACTGGTCTAATGGGCATATCTTGTTTACGTAATTTAACTAAAGAATATAATTTCGGCGGTTGTGGATTCATAATTGTTAAAAAATATTTGTCTTTGTCACTAAATAGTGTGGAGTTAGTAATTACTTCCTTGACTTGTCTTTGATAGAACTCGGTAGGATCGTGTTTGGTACATTGGAAAAGTTCTGGTTTAAGAAAATTGTTGAGTTTTGAAATATAAGGAGATCGATAGCTATGACTGTCTTCCCTTTATCCGCACGTGTAAATATTATGTTATTTTCAGAAGCTTTGCTTTTTATAGTTTTTACTAGTGACATTTGAGAAATTTTTTGTGTTTGTTGTTATCTATTAATTGAGAGTTTATTAGATTCGCTAATAAATGTTTGTTTAAATTAGAATCGTTAATGTCCTTAATTGCTAATTTACGATCGATCCCTAAACAGTCTAATTCTCTATTAATGTACGAGTGTTGTAAGTTCATTCTTCTTCATTTTTAGAAAATGTTGTGTCTGTTAAGTTTATGAACCTGTTGTAAAATTGATGGTCCCACTCCTAATCAATCAAGCAAAAGTTGCCACCTCTTAGAATATGTCTGAGTTATCGATGGCTTTCGGTATTTTATAAGTATAAGGCATTTGCTTTCTGCAGAACATAATTGTTTGTGATATGCTGTGTCTGTGGGATACGAAGCATTGTCCTGTGGAGCCATATTTCAAATGCCTCCAACTGTTTCATCATCCGTATTTTTTGAGTCAACGTCTTTACTATGTAAAGCAGTATTGACCACACGTATCACTGAACCATAGATCATCACTGCATAGCAATTATCTCATGTTATTGAACAGCATTTAATGTTGCAGTCTGGATTCAGATTTTTGAGGATGATACTACCAAGGCTAATCGTTCCATCCGTTTTACCTTGCATTCTAGGTTGATGAGATTACCGGCTGAATATCATAAGTTTGTTCTTTATAATATTGATTTTGAGACCGTGTTCTCCCACTTCAGCGATTTTGTTCATGAGTGATTGCAATCCCTCTGAAGGCGCTCTTTATCCCTGACCGACTTAAAAAATTTTATGCAAATATAATGATTTAATTTTATATGATTTTTGCAATATTTTATTAACATGATTGACATGTAACGCAAACCAGAATCATTAAGAAGACCCAAATTTTTACATGGCTGAGATAGTAATATTTTTTCTCTGTCGCCTATCTCAGCACTCTTTAATATTATATTTAAGTTTATCGAGTTGAATTCTGTCAAATTCTTTTTCATAATATATACATAAAACAGGCGAAAACATACTTATCCATCCTTATGAAATAATCACTACACTTTCTTGATTGTTTTTTTTTTGAAACAGCAGTAAAAGTTGAAGCTAATCAGTCTGCTGGTATTTCACCTGTCTTATAGATGTTGTTAAATGGTTATTCCAATATTCCCTTCTTCAATAAGCTTTAAGGCTTCGGTGGGAATCCCATCTGGTCCAACAGCCTCCTACTTCATGCAATACAGAACGTATGTATATTATCTTTGAACTTGTCTTGTATATATGTCTTATATATTTTTTAGTTCTTGTCCTTCTAAGGTCACTTGATTTTGATCTTTTATCATTTTGACACCTTGTAGAATGGAAACAATGCGTTCAAATGGAAAGACGAAAGTGGTATGTCAAGGTGAACATTAAATTTAAAAAATAAATTAAATTAAAATAAGTTTAAATCAAAAGATTGTTAAAATTAAATTTGAAAAAATCCGCTTTAATTCTGGGAGAATTTTTATGTTGTGTCAAAGATAAGGACAACTATTTTCGTTTTTTTTTAATTTTAATTTATTTACTTAAAATTACATTTCAATAATTTCATTGAATTTTTCCGAAAAAAACATTGTAATTACCATTGATAACTATTTGACATGTATTAATAAAATAAAATAAGAAAGAGTATTTACAAATCAACTGGATTGATTGGTTGTTTATAAACTTACCGACGTTTCACCAAGCATTATGTTGACTTTTTTAAAACGTAACTGAAACTTGCTTTCATTTTACTCTGTATGTTCTTATATATTGTTTGAGGGGACTGGGAAAGGTAGAGACCTGAGTTGCGGTCGAGATTGTTCAGTTGCTTATAGGTTTCTATAGATTCTCGGATTTTTCGTTGGTAGAAGAATTGATTACATGCAATAATTTTAGTTTTATCTAATAAGAGTCTAATTTTCGTAGTCTTAAAGCTCTTTCATGTTCTTTGAGCCTAGTTGTTATTTTTCTTCCTGTCTCTCTAATGTATTCCTCGCCGCATGTGCGTGGAATGCTGTAAACTCCAGACATCTCAAACGGAATTTTGTCTTTGGCGGATCGAAACTGTTGACAGATTTTTGGACCAGTGGTAAATCTGGTTTTAACATTATATTCCTTAAGAACTTTTGATATGCGGTAAGTGACTTTATTGAAGAGAGATCCTACGTCGAAACTAACCAGAAAATCTTGTGTATCTAATGTAATGCTTTTTAATTGTTCAATGAAATGAAAGGAATTAAGTACGAAACTGTCAATTTTCTCTGTAAATAAGGAAGCTAGACATTTTGTTAGAGAATATGTTATAGAACAATGGTGCTGACAATAAGTCGATTGGGTAACCCTGGTTTGTGAATCTTTTTGGCGTGTGATCGTAGAGACGAGGAATTTTAGAGTCGTGAGGGGTGACATTTTCAGAGATACTGCTGGAGAACAAGCCTTAGATGACGTACTGTTAAGTTGACGTCCGCAAGAATATCTTGAATTTTTTCCTGATAGTCAGTTGTGTCACAACTAACCAAAATTAACATAGCATTTCCTTTATCGGATGTAGGGATTAGAGTTTAGGGATTTTAAAGTAATGCTTTGGAATATTAAATTTAGGAAGTTTGTGATTTCCTCTTTTGGGATGTTAATTGAGACAAGTGTTTGGTTGTTGAGAAGAGTTTGATGGTTTTATTAGTGTTGGCCATAGTTTTTCAAATTTTTGAATGAGATTCTGGGTAGAAGATAAAAGATTTTTAACTTTGTCATGAATCATATTTGAAAGGTTATCGAACTCGTATGGAGAGACGTAGAAATGGGTCTTGTTGATAATGAATAATAATAATAGATTCAGAAGATTTGTAAATAATGTTATAGTAGCAGTATTACAAAGCCACTCAGGTTGGAATAAATAGGGAACGACTAAACAAACCAGGGGATATTAGGGACTTACTTTAGTAGTTTACCAAACGAAAGTCTCCCCTAACCTAGATTTAGATATCGCCTAACCTTAGGAGCCCAGTAAAAACGTTTCGCTAAACCGTTTCGGGACTATCATCGGCACGAGTTTCCGCGTGACATAAAAACCCCGACGTGTCAATCGTCTTTGAGGGTTCCTTTTAAAGTTTTTTTTTTCGATGCCGGCGCTCCGACGGAGTCCCCTCACGGTTGTCTAGGCACGTTAGAGCTTCGCAGACTCGGATATAATTTGATTGAGTTTTTCTGACAGACGTGGGACGGGCCCTATCGTAAGAGGGCGGTTTTCAATAATGGAACGCGCGTTGCGTTTGCAAACCCGAAATTTCAAGAACTGATCAACTCTTTCGACCTCGTCGATCTTTATTATTCAAACAGCGTTAATTACCGGATTACGCCGGGCGTTACGAATTCCGGGCACGCTGCTCCTATTTTCCCCGAAGAGCTCTATCATAAAATTGGTTTTTATTCGCTCGGAAGCGGATATTTTAATTACGCCTGCGCCCGATAGCTTTTAATTAAAAAAAACAGCATCGGGATATGCAGACGCAGATTGTTTTTGTCTTGAATGTCAATACAAAATGGCTTGACTTTTCGTTTGAATTCAAGACCTGTAACATTTCGTATTGATTGGTTTGCCAAACGTTTTCAATATTGAAAATGAAGTTTTTTTCGGATTTATGTATAAGATTTAAAAAAAAAATGTTTGTCAGAAAGTGTTAGACCTTCTACGTCGAGTTTTGGGTTGTTGAGGAAAAAAGTCAATTGCAGTGGACAATAAACAATTTTTCTATTATGGTATAGTTTTCAAAACAGGGGATGATATAGGTACCGATAACTGTATCTTTAGCATGTTGTCAGAAATTTTGTCAAAATATTTAAAAATGTAGTTGGCTATGACATCACAATTTCTTTTTTGACATCGTTTTTTTGGTCTTTTGCATATTTCTTTTTAAAAAGTATGGAGTATTATATCTTTAAAAGAAGTAGTATCATATCTTTGCTATTAAAAAAATACCTAATATAGCCAACAAGTGACCTAATGTGGACAGCTTTAAATACAACAAGAATTTACACGGGTGTTATCTTAAACCTCGAATATCTCAAAAAGTAAGTAAAATTGAAATATAGGATAAATAACTGATCTTATTTTTTTGTCTTAGAATTGATATCTGAATGAAAATATGGTGTGTTCCGTTTGAAAATCTTGAGATATTGTTAATCGAATTCGCCATAACGGAGCGATTTATTCGGGACACCCTGTATAAGCTGAGGGTCATCTGTCAAACTGATTGAGTAGTGCATCATCTCCTTAGTGTGTGGTTAAATTTTGTTTGCAATACCTGGATCAATAGCGTAACAACACAATTTTATATGGGACAATCCAAATATTAAAAAAAAAACACATAACCTCAATTTCTGCCTAAACTATGCGAAATTCGAATAGTAATTTCTTAAAAAAGTGACTCTTATTTTAACCAAGAATTCCAAAAATGTGGAAATATATAGGATGTTCCGTTTAAAATAATAAAGTTGATGTCGGGAGGACACTTTTGGGACACTCTATATCAACAAAGTTATAATATTTTAATTCTTCTGGAGAATTCAGGAAACTTTTGTACTTGTACTTTTTTCGTATCTCCTATGGGTTTCCAGATCGTATTGAGGATCGTTTTATTTGGCACACGGTGTACTCCGATTCAAAAAATCAAAGAATACTTTCTATCATTATTTTTCAATTTCATCCAGTCTCTCCGATCCAAAGAAGATTTCTTAAATTCGTCAATTGTTTTCGACTGTAACAAAGATAAACAAAGTATTGACCAGGGAGTTTCAGATATTGCAGTCGATTCAAAAGAATTAAGGAATAACCTATTCGATTGAATTTGATAAGACATTTGCACAGAAGTTAGAAGAAGTAAGGAGATGTAATATAACTTGAATGTTGAAGAAGCGAATCTTCATTTGCAATTTGTTTGCAATTCCCATTCTGTATTTGTAAAATTTTGGAAACCTCACTATAAAAAAGAAAACCTTTACCAGAATGTCTCCAATATAAAATAGTTTACCAAAACCATGAAGACTTCTATTGTCTTGGGAAACATCGCTGTACGAACGATAAAGACAGTGAAATATCTCTGGATATTGAGGAAGATTGTGTCAATTTTTGTGTTCCAATACAAATAGATACCAATGATGTACTCATGTTCCGTTTTCTTTAAAATTGCGTATCCGTAAAGTGTCTGAAATCTGACTTTGCAAAATAATAATAAAAATATGAAATGAAATATAATGCACGAAATAACTGAAGTTGGAAAATCTGCAATATCAATAATGGAAACAACTGAAGACCTCGTATTTCTGCAATCTCAGATTTGAAATAGTGTCAGATACTTATATTTCTATTGTTTTTCAGAGTTTTTCAATGATTTGATTGATAATTCTATTTTCTTCAGAATTTTGTGTCTATAAAATTTCGAAGATCTGTTCAAAAGATGAAATGAAAAAATAGAACTGAAGAGGTTAAGGAACAATGTATTCAGAAAAAAAAAGTATTTGTTTAATAGAAACAGGATATCTTCTCCTGAAGATTGCACACTTCAGCTATGGGACTTTTAGCTGAATAAGCTTACAAAATGCAGGAACTTTTTCAGAAAGGCATCTGTTCAAAAAATGAAATGAAAAGATATAACTAAAGCGGCTGAGAAAGAATGTATTCTGAAAATGATGTATTTCTGTGATAGAAACAGAACATCTTCTCCTGAAGATTGCACACTTCAGCTATGGGAGTTTTAACTTAATAAGCTCACAAAATGCCGGAACTTCTTCAGGAAGACATCTGATCAAAAGATGAAATGAAAATATAGAACTAAAGAGGTTGAAAATGAATGTATTCAGAAAATGATGTATTTCTGCAATTGAAACAGAAGATTGCACACTTCAGCTATGGGACTTTTAACATATTAAGCTCACAAAATGCCGGAACTTCTTCAGAAAGGCATCTGTTCAAAAGATGAAATGAGAAGATAGAACTAAAGAGGTTGAGAAAGAATGTATTCAGAAAATGATGAATTTCTGTAATAGAAACAGAAATCTTCTCCAGAAGATTGCACACTTCAGCTATGGGACTTTTAGCTTAATAAGCTTACAAAATGCCGGAACTTCTTCAGAAAGGTATCCGTTCGCTTGATCGTAAAATGTCCTCTAACTCGTTCCTAGAGTTGTGGATCTGCGTCGTTCGAATTCGGTAATACATGCGTGGGAATTTCAGAAGCTCTAGTGTATAGACAAACAAACGACAATCAAAACAACCCCCGCACGGCTACGGGCACGATTGTGTCACGAGACGTGACATATTACGCCATCGGCGAGTTATTATAAACGCTCTCTGAAAAATAAATTGACGTTTCCGACTTTGGACTCCGCCTTAACCGGCAAACCAAAACGAGCGCCAAAAAAAATCTCTTCCCGACGACGACGTGGGTTAATTAATTTCGGAACCCGTAATGGACTCATAATAGATTGTTTCTGACACGCAACGAACTTAACAATTTATCACATTTACCGGGGCCTTTTGTATTGTCCGCGTTGCTCGAACTCTTAATTAACTTACGGGGGCGTGTGAGTTTGATTGTGCAAGTCCCACGGAGCCGTTTGATTCGCAGGTTGCGCCAAGTTGATCGAGTTTGATCCGTTGAAGGCGACCGACGTCAGGTTGCCGAAGGGGGCGGTTTTCGTCATCGCTCACAGCATGACCAACCTGAACAAGGCCGCCACGGGAGATTTCAACTGCAGAGTGGTCGAATGCAGACTCGCGGCTCAGGTAAGTCCACTCCACGGCTAATATCCTGCTCAATAGGTGATAGAAAGGATAGTTGTGGCTTGGTCCCACTTAAGATTCTCTTCCCTGAAGCAGTCGTCTTCCCTACCAGAGATCAACTTTTTCTTGGACGTGACTCCTCGAACTAATTTTTGTTATCGGCCTTTGCTTTTTAAATATTTTTAAACTATGCCCAAGATCCTACTCTTGCTTGTGATAATTTATTTTTGTTACCAGCTTCGACTTTTCACTCTTGATAAGTCTTCGCCACACTTATATTCTCTGTCCTGGCGCATTTGTCTTCTCTGCTGACTTTTTATCCTACTAAGACAAACTTTTCTCCAGGCGACAAACGGTATTCCTACTATTGTATCTAATATCCATAAATGATCGTGGACGACGGAAAAGATAGTCAAGATTGTCAACAGCTTTGATTTTTCAACTCTGGGTGACTCTTGCTCGCACTTCTATTCTCCTCTCTGGTCCAGTTATCTTCCCTGCTGTTCTTTTATCTGACAATGATCTTTTTTTTTCTCAACTATAGTGCAGTTCCCAAAAAGTTCTGTTAAAAAGTCTTTAATTCTATTACAATATCAAGTGGGAAATTTGAATACATGGTGCACTAGCATTATCACATGAGATGAGAGAGGCAGATTTCCTTATATGCCAGATTGTCTAGATTCTAATAATGATCGCACCTGGTAGGATTGCTTGGCATCTTAACTCGCGTTTCATTTCGTCCTTTTTGGTAGAAGAAGATATTAGCGTAATATATAACGCGGCACTGTATCTCTAGATCATGGCCAAGCGCAGAGGTCTCGATTGGGCACAGTTGAAGCGCCTCGGCGAACTTCAAAAGGCGCTGCAACTGGATCTGCAGGAAATGATCGCCTTGGTCGAAACCGTACTCGATAAGGAGTCCTACACGAAGGTGGACGTGCTGAGCGAGCTAGACACTGCCGCCGAACAGTTGGAAGTGACGTCTTTAACCCCAAACACCAAGCATATCGACTGTTTCAAACTGAAACAGAGGGCGTTGCACGTTTTCAACGGTAAGCGCACGACGCGGCTTTTATGATGTTTAAGTGGACCGATAGCGAAAGCCGTTAAACTAAGTTTTCCGAGACATAATCACGTTTTTATCGATTGCTCGTTCGTCGCAGCACTCAAAATTTATACTTTTTTATATACGTTTTTCGTTCTAAAACAAAAACGAAGCCTCTACGAGGATGAAAACTCAACAGACTAACAGACATTTTCTTTAAAGACCGCATATGACGTCATAGCAACAATTTATGTTAAGATGTATCTAAAGGTGTTTTATCTCATTAATTTCAATATTTTTTCTAAAACTTTTTTAAAAAGTATGAAGGAATCTATCGCCAGTGACCTTCTATGATTAGTTAGGGGTGAGCAACCAAGTGTGATGAATCTTGTCATAATGATAATTGTCCCATTATGTTTAATTAGAAAGAAGGTTACATGAAATCACAAGACTCATTTTTAGGTCCTTCATGACTGCCCCCTCCCCATACTTGATGGCTAATATTTGCCGGTTTTGCGCGTAAAACTTTAATGACGCACTCATCCCGCCATTATTCCCAACCGACACCGTAAATATGCAAACCCGTCGTAAAGGTTAACGCTGTTTGTACGATTTAATTAATATTTAGTCGAAAACCGCAACTTTAACGGTCGCAATAAACTTTATCGTCGTCGTATTGGGAATGGCAAAGGAAATCCTATTTTCCTGGATTGAACTGCCAGGCCTTTAAAAAGGATTTACGAATATCGAACATTTTATCAAACTTCTGGATTCCTCCTGCGTCGGTTTTTGTTGACTCCAACTAGCTAGCGTTTCGCCAATCGTCCTGTTGGATTCTTCAGAGCTTGACTGAAACTAGCTCGTATTTTACTCTGTACCTGCTTTTATATTGTTTGAGGGCGGCGGAGCTAAATGAGGGGCATAAACACCGTCTCGGATGACTGATTCCCATATTGGTTGTTAGGTTGCTTATAAATTTCTATAGACTCTTAGATTTTTCGTTGGTAGAAGAAATCTACCTTAGAGATGCAGACATCTACTTAACCCCTCTTTTTGGGACAAATAAATGGTTTTTATTCTTGATTCCGAGTAGATTATAGTCAAAATCTGCATTTTCATAACTTACCGGATTCAAATCTATATTAAAATTGCAGATAACTACTTAAAAGTCCACTTTCTTGGATTAATGGTAGGTTCTTCTTCCATTTTCAAGCAGATTCCAGTCAAAATCGGCTCCTCCGACACATATCGATCCTAAAACCGCATCAAAACTGCAGATATCAGCTCAAACCATCATTTTTTGATTTAAACAGTTACCAAAACTATAAAAGCAGGTACAGAGTAAAATTCGAGCCAGTTTCACTCAAGCTCTGAAGAAGCAAACAGGATGATTTGGCGAAACGTTAGATAGTTCGACTCAACAAAAACCGACTTAGGAGGAATCCAGGAGTTTTATAGAATGTATTACAGTAGCCTGTGGAAGTTTCTTTGAAAAAAAAAAAGAATATCGAACTGTACTTTTACCACTTCTGTGTTCCAGAAGCGTTACGGGTACGAAAGTTCTACGAAACCTGCCAGAAAGGCTCCGGTGACGACGACTCCCTGGCTACCCTGGGGACGCTCATGAGCGAGAGCCACGACAGTCTCAGAGACCTATACGAGTGCAGCCACCCGCAGCTCGATCGGTATGGGCGCTCTAACAATTTGCAAAACAAAAAGGACCACTTTCGCTTCATTCCTTAAGAACATTTGCGCGTAGTCGGCGTATGTGGCTGTAAAGGTTACAACGAGTATTTTTTGCAGGTTCAGTTAGTAAAATATCTGGCGGTAATTTAGTACCTCCCTCTATATAATATACAGGGTGTTTTCTAATCGAATGTCAATAATTAACACATGTCCTAAACGTCTTAACTTTCAAGATACAGGGCGGTAAAGTTTTCAAAAATAAAATATATTTTTTTTAATATCCGTCTTTAGATATTTTGCTATTTACGAGGGCTGCCTTTTATATTTCGGGATTTTTTAAAACTTGTCCTGCCATCTAGCGAATAACGTTTTTATAGAGAAGTCTGACATTTTGAGGTTAGGTTTACTGAGTTAGTTTTTGGCGAAAGTGTGTTGTTTTTGTTTTACAGCATTTACAACTTTAGACGTGGACTAACTCAACAACAACGCATCGATGAAATTTCAACTGTTTGTCGCTGGTTTTCGGACTTCAGTCGCGGTCGCAGTTTTGTTGAAGGTGAATTTCGTGAAGGTTGTCCAAGAAAACATTGATGCAGTGCGGCAACTGATTTTGCAAGATCTTACTTACCATGAGATTGAGGTATCTTTGGGCATAAGTGGGACCAGCACACATACAATTTTGCATGAACATTTGGCTGCTAAAAAAAATTATTCACGTTGGATTCCACACAATTTGACATTAGTTAAAAAAAGGCTCATGTTGATTGCTCGAAGGAAATGCTAAAAAATACGATCGGTGATGAATCATGGATCTATGCATATGAACCTGAAAGGAAGGAGCAGTCGACTGTGTGGGTCTTTCAGAATGAGACAACGCCCACAAAAGTTGTTGGTGAGCGCAGCTACTCGAAACAAATGGTAGCCTGTTTTTTCAGGAAAACTGGCCAAACTGTTTCTTTGGTGAAATGAAAACAGTCAATTCTGAATGACACACAACCATTTGTTTGCCGAAAGTCTTCGAAAAAATTAGAAAAACCAACTGCCGAAGAGGAATTACTCTTCACGACTCTCACCTATCAGTACAAAGAACTTTTTGAACGTTAAAAACGTTGATTTCATGAGGCATCCACCATATAGTCCTGATTTAGCACCTAATGACTTTTTTTTATTCCCATACATTAAGAATAAATTACGTGGGCAACGATTTTCAACACCAGAAGAAGCGATTGATGCGTGTAAAAAGCATATTTTGGAGGTGCCCGAATCGATGTGGGAAAAGTGCTTTGATGATTGATTTTAACGAATGCAAAAGTGTATTGATCATCAGGGTGAATATTTTGAGAAACAATTAAGTCATATTTGTTGGTAGGTTATAATTTTTTATTACAAATCCCGAAATGTAAAAGGTTGCCCTCGTATCAAGATGCATTATTTAATGTAAGATCGATTTGAAGGAAAGTACCAAATACTTTACTGGAAATATGACCTTAGGTCGAAATTGGAACGTAACAATATTCGTTCTTCTTTTTATTAGTTAGGTAAGACATTGTAACACTCCCTTTTTCAGATAATTACTTACTAGCTTTACTCAACTTTTCACAATCTTAAGGCCCGTTTCTGGAATGCATACATAGTATATAATAACAGGTAATAGGAAAGCGTATTTTTTGAAACATCTTCTAGTTTTCTCCAATAAATCGACATCGTCGCTTAAACGATTTTTTCTAATCGAGAACGAAATTGTCGACAGCTCGTAGGTCAGTAGCGTAGTTTCCTCGCGGTCTAATTTTCGTTGTTCTCGTAACAAATCTGTTTGGGGTAGGTTTATCGTCCGCATCGATCGTGATACTTTCGTTTACGGCTGTCATCAACCTCACGAGGAAGGGTGGTCGCGTGATAGTCGGCAATTTACCGCGCCTCTTTTTTGCCGCAAATTATTTTCCAGTCCGGTTTGACGGAAAAACGTCGACAACAAATTGCCCGACATGATACGAGGCGGATTCGTCTCTAGCTATACGCGAAACACTCTAAAAACAATCCGAATTTCGCCCCCCCCCCCCACTTGGTGGGGTGGGAGGGTAAATACGTGGACGGAAACGCTAGTATGAGAGACTTAGACGAAAAGAAAAACGGCACGATTCGGTCTACTCTGGAAATTCACATTGAAATTGAAATGGGAGGACGGGGAGAGAACTGATATTTTTTTTGGAACCCTATGGCGCGCTGTGTGTGCGGCGAATGTTTTAGCCCTCTTTCACTTTTATATTTTTCAATGAGGAAGAAAAAAAACTATAAAATAAAAGGTGCCAATAATATTAGAAAACACTTTCATTCTATTTCAGAAAAGCTTAGAATGATAAAACCTCATGAGTGACTCAATGAATACTTAAGCCACTCTTATTGTTTAGCGTTGATTTCAAAATACTTTCTTTTTGTCCAGGGTGTGGGAAAATGGTGTGTTACAGTCGTCCTCGTAAAAGGGAAAGAATATTATTTTAACAGAATAAAAATTAGGCATATTGAATAGGGTGGAGCGTCTATCTTGGGAGACTACCTTATATCAGAATCTCTGAGGGATGAGGCAAAAGTTAAATACAAAAGTTAATTGAGGTATTGCAAACTTTTAATTTATTTTAATTTTGTATCTGCAGCGTGGGCGAATATCAAATATCTTATTTTAAATTGAACATGGCATATTACTTCATTTTTGAATTCTATACAAAATGCGAGACATTTTGTTTATAATGTCCCATATCTAAGTCTAACCGTTTTTGAGATTTTCAATTTTTTATGCGAAAAATGAAGTTTGCAAGACGTAACTGTAAAGGATCTGGAGATTTTGTTTGTTTTTGCGTCATCTGTAATCTCCTCTTTTAATATAATTATTATAATTATCTATAATTAACAGACAGTCCAATCGATTAAGTAATCAAGATTCCATTTCTCTCCTCTTCAATATTGACTTAATCAAACAGTAGCTTCAGGTCTTCCTCTATAGGATTTAGTTCTCAGCAATACAATAGTGGTATGATTAGCACTACTATTATAGTGCTTAACTACTACTGCATCAACCGGAAAATATTCCATAAAAAGTAATTTGAGCACAAAAAATTGCGTACGCCTATGGCAGGCACGGAAATTGAGCGGAACTGGGCGGAATTTTCTATTTTATAACTTTCCACATTTCTTTGCATTTATCATTAACAAAGACATAAAAAACATATCACTCTCCCTCTACCTGAGATTTGAATTTTGCGACTCGAACTGTTTGATTAAAAATGGCGTTGGAGCTCAATGACAAAGTCAAAATAGATTCCAATAATTTCAGCTTCAATATTCGAAAATATTCCTTTTACGTCGAAGTCGAAAAATATCCAAAAAATTCTGAATTAGTGCTCGATGCAAGGCGATAAAAAAAAACAAAAAAGGTAATGATGGGTCACTGTGTATAAATGACACAAATACGAGACGATCTTTAAAAGCTAGACGAACTTGAGCTACGAAAACTCCCGCGCCCTCTTTCCACCCTACGTTAATCATCATTCCGAGACTTAAAAGTTGACAAGGTTTAAGGATTTCCTTTAATTGCTCGCGGAAACTTTCAACTTGCGAAGACGGACGATGATCGATCGGCGCCGTCCGCATTGTTCGCGGTTTTCTTTCCGTTTCTATTTTCCCGTAATCAAAAAGGAAATAAACCGACCCACGGCGTAACCGACAAGCTCGTGCAATCAATTCTTCGCGGATTCGCGGGACTTAAATCGGGTCGTGCGGGAGGCTGGGCAACAGTTCAAACGTATTTCGGTAACTACCTATATAAAAGAAAACCAATTACCGGCCGAAACTTTTTTAATTTGGTTCCCGTTTTCTTTGCGATAGGTTTGGAGGGAGAGGGAGGAGACACGCGGGGTTAGCCAGCCGAACAGCAAAGTTTTAACTGGTCGTTTTACGCTTTTAACGATTTAATGACGTATCAGGGTAAAAAGCATAAAGTTTTGGTAAAGGTTTATTACGAAAATACCTTATTTACTAGCAGCCTTAAGGAAGTTCATATCTTCATTCGATCCCATCATTTGTCCCACCAGGGGACTGAAAATTTTCGTTCATCTCACTACGATCCCATTTCTGATCACTAATACACCTACCTGCAATGTGGAGCATTGATTGATGTTGCGAGACAACAACAAAAAATGTTTTGGTAGAAGACGAGTAGACTATAAATTTTGCGAATTTAATAATACCGAGAGAAGAGGCCTCGAAACAAACACGCCGAACTTAATTTTCCAAAGAAACTGTCACTGGATACTGTGATACTATTTACAAAATTTCTGGATTCCTCCTGCGTCGTTGTTGTTGAGTCGAACTTGCTAACGTTTCGCCAATCATCTTGTTGGCTCCATCAGAGCTGAATTGACTGAGAAAGTCAGAACCTCGTTAATCTAATATTCCTAAAACATCCCTCACAAGCCTCTAACATCAGATAAAGGAAATGCTGCGGTGGTCATGAATACAAATGAATATCAGGATTCAAGATATTCTTACAGATGGATCACAAGATTTTCTGGTTAGTTTCGAAGTAGGATGCCTATTTAATAAAGCCCCTATTCCTGAAACTCTCAACATCATTTCAGATATATTAAAACCCGAAAATCTGGAACCAAACCTTAATTGAAAAATACTTGTCTTTAGCAAGTTCGACTCAACAACAAACGATGCAGGAGGAATCCAGAAGTTTTGTAAATCGTACGTTGAACTTAATCTTGAGAAAACCGATTGTTCTCGAAGAATTGTTTCTGATTAGAAAAATTTTTCGGTAGGCTTACGCGAGGTTAGAATGCCGAAACCCGCACACATTCCGATCCCCGGTTCGTGTACGGAATACATCAAAATTTATTTCATTAAAATGCCGTGACGATTTGCAGTTGATCCGCCAGGGTAGGTTGAACGCCGGCAAAATAGAAATAAAATTTGATTTGGACGAGAGATCGAATTCTGTTTACTTGGTTAGTCGATGTACATGGCACTGGTTAATTATTATATTCGAACCTTCCTGGTTAATCAGTTTGATATTTTATATAAATTTTTTGCATGTAAACATAAAATCTCTCTCCTTAACTTTGTGTTGACGGGACTTTCATAATCTTAAATGAAACCGACAAGAAGTTGGACTCATTTTTCAATCATCTGAATTCACTTTAGCACTGTATCTAATTTACTACTGATAAATAGAAAAACTCCTACATGCCATTTCTAAACTTCCTTGTGAGTCGAAGTAGTGGACATGTGCGTATCAAAATCAAATATCAAGACATACGTGACCGTACCTAAGTTATCAGTTCAAGCATTCTGATGCAGTGACCAAGCCTCTTTCGATGCTGAATTCAATAATATTAATACTGATTTGCTTTAAAAGAACCAGTTGCAAAGCAGACTCAATAGTATGCCCACTCTTAACGATTCCGTATTTAAAACGCACGTCGAAAATATTAAACAAGTTTCAAGTTGGGAGCGGCTTGACAAAAACAAAGCTCGAAACATCGAATCGAGAGAGTAAGTGCACTATCAATCTCCCTGTGAATATAGTATGTTGTTTATAGGAGAGACTAAAAGAGCACAAGAAACGGATACGAAAGAGCGAAACATTAACGGGAAATCAGAGCATGTTTTTTGAAGCAACATAACATAACATAGAGGCCGCAGTTGTCCACAGGAAACCTCTCTCGAAAACAATTTAGTTCCAAGATTACTTATACTTATTAATTCCATATATTGCGTTCTCGAACAATATTGTTACTTAGGATTTCTTTTGTTTCATCTATTAGACTTTTAAATGCACACGCCTATCTTACTTAGCATCGGCCTGTCGCAACTAGCGCAAATTTCGATTTAGTGAACCAGCGGTTTATACCTAAACCAATAAATTATTTTTATCCTCTCCTAAATCGAGGTCACTTTTATATACCGCACACCTACGACGCCAATGACAATCGAAGCAGTCCTCGCGATCGGCCGACGCGGCAGACATTTATCAAAACCAGACGGGGAGAGTATAAATGGCAGACACCTCGCGACCCTCCGCCGTGAAATATGTTCGTATTAATCTCCCATTTGCCACCACCTACCACCCCGTTTTGCAATTTGTCTTGCGGCTTGCCCGGAGGGATCCGTCAAGATTTTTAATCGCCCTCAATTTTTAGCATCGTGACCCTCTCGAAGGGGTTAACTCTAGGCACCCGGTTAACAGGAGCGGGATGGGGCGGCTGCACCGTCTCGTTGGTGGCCCCCGACAACGTCCATCGTTACGTGGAGTTCCTGAAGGAAAACTTTTACGCCCCCCTGGGGGTGAAGTCCGACTTCGAGGACATCGTTTTCCCCACATTTCCAGAATGGGGCGCACAAATTTTACTCTGCTAGGATTTGTATTGTTTTTATATGGAGAATACAGTTTTTAAAATATTAGTTTGCCTTTCCTTTTTGGATTATTTCCGTTAGAAATTACAGTGTACGAAAAAAATCATGCCAAAAATAATAACAGCGTTTATTGGGACCGAGATTAGATTAAAGTTTTGTTCCCCCTGAGTGAGGAAACTTCTGCCAACACTCCTAGACATTGTATATAATTTTAGTTACCAACGTGACTGTTCAACATAAACATGTGTTTCTTTCTAAAAATATTAATCGTAAATTCCGAAATACATAAGAGGAAAGAAGGTTTTATTCGTACGGCATGTCTCAGGAACTTTGTGCTATTAAGAGCCCTTTTTCAACAACCCTGATATTAAGAGAAGGCTCGTGTGCTCGTCGATCTAGATATAGGGTTAACCCAAATGTTTTTTTTTTCCATCTGCGCGGTGGACGAACTTAGGTTTGGATGTCGTCCGGTCATAGCGACTCAGAACTGCGATAGTCAGTCTAGTAAAATTTCTTAATTGTGTAGCGATTAGGTTTAATTTTTCTAAGAAATTTCGGACGGCTGATCACAAAACGGACCTTGTCAATCAATTTTGACGTCAATACATTAGGTTTGGCAAAAAAGTACTAATTTTAAAATATTTAAAAAAAAAACAGTTTTTTTTGTCGATTACATTCATAAATACATCTCCTTGGACGCTACTGAACGAATAACATTACATTTTGGCACGTAAAAATACAGATTCCGGGAAACAAACGTTCCAATCGTAACCTCGAGACAGATGGTGGGGGGCTAAAAGATACTTCTCGCAATCGCCCGAAACAATTTTCCGAACTTTTCTAGGAAACGCCCATAACGCAATGTTTTCCGGCAGCTTTCTTCGAAACGGGTTTTCGAGTACATTCCGACACAATCATATCGCGTCCCACATTTTTAATATGCCATCGAGGGCGGAGGCGAAGAGGGAACAAAAACTCAACTTTTTAATTTAAGGCAACAGTAATAACCTTGGGCAATAAAACAAACGAAAAGTTTCCAAGGGGGGCTATATCCCCTGTTTATTAAAGTCGTGCTGGGGGGGGGGGGGGGGGCGAAAGACAAACAAGGATGCTAAATTGCAAAAAAAAGTAGAGAGAGAATATCGAGCCAAAACATTTGCTTGTCGATTTATATTGAGGCTTCGCTGAAAAGACTTTTTAGTGACCTTGGCTTTGAATATCTTCTTGTCGTCCTTTGCAAGTAGAAAGCACAAATTATTCAACACATAAAGGCATTTTTTCGCAACTGACAAATGACACACGCCAAATGATGTGACGTCACTGTAGTATTAAGAAACTTTGAACATCGATAGCTACTCTACTAATTTTTTTAAGCGTGTTTCGTGTGACTTTGCTTTGGTTTAGCTCCAACCCATTTCACAACTTAGATGTTTATCACAAATTTTTATCACCACTGGAATTTCGGTTATTTTTACCAACAAGTGACAATGCATCTAGCCCTCAAGGAACACGATGGACACCCTACTAAAATTGTATAAGTGTGTCAAGATACAATACTGAGCCACTTCGCCATGGTTAAGATATCCGACGCATTCTAACCATTTCACAACTTTTACACATGCCACACACCAAAGGATGTGACGTCACTGAAGTAACGACGGACTCAGAACCTGGATAGAAAATCTAGTAATTTTTTTTTAAGCGTGTGGCGATCTTATGGCTTACATACACGCTTTACATAGCAACGAAATTTTAATCACTTCACAACTTTGACGTTTTTACGAGGTGATACCAATTCTTCTCATTAGTCGGATTTCAACAAATTACGTATTATATTAACAAATTTCGATGGCAACATGACACACATAGCTATCTAAAAAAAGAAATTTTAATACAGCCATTAAAAATAAAATTTAAAACTGCATTGCAAGAAATAAATTATCAAGTGCTGTATACACTAAATAAACAATGAACATTTTCCTACTTATAAAGCGGCTTCTAGAAACTTTAAGAAACCTAAATATATAAAACATGCTAAAATCAATGAGTGTAAAAGACAATTGGGTATTCTTTTCGTGATGCAAAATGTAAATACTAGATATAATGAGCTCTACAGAGCAAAAAATGATTATGATAGCCTTTAAACAAATATAAAAAAGAGAATTACGCGGATAGATGAAAAAACTCAGATAACAAACAAATGTGCCTGGTCGATAGTAAATGAAATTAAAGTAAAACATGGTTATAATTCTTAATTAATGTTCCACCAACCTTGTTAAAAAAATACCTTTTATTTCGAACCTTGCATTTAATCAAACCGCAATAGTTCTACATCTAGTGGATAAAAAAAGGGATGTAGCTAAAAATTAAAGAATAAGTTTAGTTGTGGATACGATGAATAATTTACTAAATAATACACAGCATGCCTACTTACCAGGCAGGACAATTCAAATAGCAATATTTACCTTCGTACAACATATACTCGATGTTTTAAATAGTGGTGAAATCCCATTAGCGCTGTTCCTTGATTTATCAAATGCGTATGATACTGTAAGCCATAGTATGCTTTTGAATAAACTACATTTGTGTGGAATAACAGGAGTGGCTTTAAGGTGGGTGGAATCGTACCTTTTAAGAAGAAAGAAGCAAGTTGTAATAGGCAAGGGTGGAAACCGGGTAGTATCAGAAAGCAAAAATATTACAGCAGGTATACCGCACGGCAATGTAATAGGCCCAACATTATTATTATTATTATTTATTAATTGTAAAATCACTAACTACGCTGATGATATCAATGTTCTAATTGTAAATAAGGATACCTCAAAAAGGAGGTTAAGAGATTCATGATGGGGGCGGATAATTGGTTTACTAAAAATAAATTAGTTATTAATAATGCTAAGACTGCTGTAGCAATGTTTAGAACAAACCGATCAAGAATAGAACCACTACAGAAGTTAAATTTAAACAACTGTGATATTGTTTTAAGCGATTGCACAATGTTGTTGGGATAGTCTTTGGATAGCCTTTTATCATGGGAAAATAATGTAAATAATGTAGTAGATAAGTGAAATAAAGTAATATATATCATTAGAGTATTAGGTGGGTATATTACATTAGAAACATGGGAAAAAATGTGTTATCACAGTAATTTTACGGTAAAATACTTGTTATATATGGAAATTGCAGAGACATAGAAAGAATTTTTATTTGGCAAAAGAGAGCCCTGCGAACTATATTGCAGTTAAATTTTCGAGTCATGTAGGGGAAAATTTAAGTAAAATTAAATTTTAACTTTAGCCGCAATTTTCATATATACTGTTCGTCTTTAAAAACAGAAACCTTTTTGAAAATACGATGTCTCAAGAAGTTTATGGGGCAAGAACCATGAATTACACAGACTGACTATGAGTTAGAAGAGCGCGTATAATCACTGTATTAGGTGTTATAATAGTTTGCCGAACAACATAAAAACGATTAGAGATTTAATAATATTAAAGAAAACAATTTTTAATTTACTCGTAGAAATAGAACCATAGAGTGTAAAAGAATACTATGGATTTATTCAAAACATGTAGGACAACCACTGTAAATGAATGATTTATTATTATTATTATTAACTCATCTTTCCGCAGCTGCAAAGGATATAACACCACTTTAGTATTGAGGGGCATAGAACCTCGATAGAAACTCTACTGAAAAATTTTGTATCTCAAAATAGGGTCAAATCTTTTTTATTTTATTCTCATTTTATTTTGAGAGATATTTTATATTAATTATTTCGCATTGTTCATCGATCCCCGGTAAGTATCTGCAGTTAGAGGAAACGGTTTGCGTGGGGCTTCAATTCCTCAAAACTCGACGTCATCAATCGCCGGTCGAACGGAGAGGGCAGAGCAAAAAAAATTACACTCCAACCACCTGAAGATGGGCGTGCGCCGAATGGTCCAGCGTGACTCTCGGGCTCGCGTTTCAGCGAATTTTCAGTAACGGGCAGTTTTCAGCCGGCAGCGATACGCACGAGAATACAATCAGCAACGAGACAGCGGAAAATCGCGTGAACTTTTCCGGACACGCTCGGAATCGGACTGTCGAAGGGGAAGCCGGACATGATTCTCATCTGGGACGCACGTAAGACGCACTTGTTTGTCTGGGTGTCGAAAGTGAGGTGTCATTGTACGGCTGTTTCGCGTTTTTTTTTTTTAATTTTACCTGAATAAACGGCAACGCTTAATTTTTACGGTAATCTTGATGTTATTTTTGTCGTTTCATTTGGCTTAATATTCTTGAAATTATTTCGAATTATGTTTAAAAAAAACATATTTAATTCTTTAAGGAGTATCCGTATCTAAAATTTGACAACTCCGTCTTGCAATTTGCAATTAGAAAGATGAGAAACGAAAATAACAGTAAAAAATATTATCGGAACAAATTATTCTTAAACAATGGTAGTATTATAATAATTATATAAAAAATCGAATGTCCAAGCCAAAAAAATACACCAGGTGTCCAGTTCAGAGGCAGTCGGCCCGATCTGGAAATGAAGAAACGACCTTACATTACAGATAACTAAAATGGTACCTTTTTAAAGCTGGCATAAATTGAATACTTTTTTGTAGATTAGTTTGTCGAGGCAGTGGTGGGGGTGTCTGAACATTTTCGGAAATGAATGTCAAAAGTTCAGAATGACTTTAGATTGCTTATGCCACTGTTAGAGGGCGTGTTGCAACATCACTACAAGTAAAATTGATTTTCTCATAAGAATCACTCTTACTGCAACAAAACATAACCAAATGTGAGTGAAAACTGCATTTAGATATATCTTTCCTAAGTTATAATATCGGTAAAAAAAACAAAATACTGTCGCCATATTTAGGAATATTTTCAGGATACATATCATTATTAAATACTAAAATTCGGTCTCTTGGGAAAAATATATAAATTTACTTTTAATACGGGAACATTGTATTTAAAATGTCATTATTAATTAATACTCATTCCCATATGATTGAATAGTGCAATATGCAATATGTTTTATAACAATAATAAAAAAGAATCACACAGTAGTGAAATAGTTGCGTTTTCAATGTTTTAAAAATAAAAACGAATCATAACTATCACTTCTATAAGTAGAAAATTATATTTTAAAAACAAAAATATTATATTTAATTCTTTAAAATTTAACAACACGGCTTTGGATTGGCAGCAGTAAAAAACATTCTGAAAACGAGCTTAAAGGGTGACAAATTAATGTTTAAAAAAATGGTTTGCTGGTATTATAACTCGAATATCTAAAACAAAAAAATGATTAAAAATGTATAGCCTCAGAATAAAATTTTCATATGGAAAATCTGGAAACGGTAATAACAGCTAGAATTATTAGGGGGTAAATTGTTGTTCCTTGGTTGTCTTTTAAGTTTTTTTTTAACTTTTCATCCTTAATTAAAAGGTTTGTGTGACCCTAACCAAACTTTAAAAGTTGGGGCATTAACATATAACATTTTTTCCTACTTTTGGATAAATGCAGCTAAACCAGCGGCGGGATCGCTATCAATGTTTTAAATGAAACCCTGGATTTTTAAATGTAGGATAAAATAACTTGACTCGTTTTGGCAGTGATCTTGAAGTCAAAAAAAGGAACTTGCGAAAAATGGCTCGTATTGCGAGTGAAAAATTTTCAAAATCAAGCGTCCCGAGACTAACTCCAAAACGACCGTTGGGCTTTTTGTTCAAGTCGATGGATACTGGCAAAGAAGTCAAGGCTAATCCTTCCGGTCGCATTCACTTTAAAGGGACGCCACTGACTTTCTGCTAAAATATCTTGATGCTTAATCTTACTCCCAGTCTTTTCTACGAACACCCCGTCGAGTCCATGTTACGTTTAACACCCATAGGACGCTTTTTTTTTAACTTTTCCGCCTCAGCCTCTGCGGCTGTTAAATTGCTTCCCGCCCCATACAATTCCTCGTTCAAAACTAATCAGAAAGTAATTAAAAAGAGTAATTTACATTTGCGAAATTATCGTTCCTCGTCCCGCTAAAAACCTTCGCGGTCTATTTTAAAATGGCGCGAACGTTTCGCCTTTAAAATATATCGATCCTCTTCAATTGTTACGAAAAGTGAGGAAACCCCGTCGGTAAGGTTTGCAAATATCGTGGCGTGGTAACTCAGACCGGAGTAAAATGTTTTCTAAACAGGCGCCCTCCAAATACACTTTTTCTTGCTCTCCGGCTTCTTTAAATAAACTATTCGTATTTTACGGCGACAATTTCGGTAAACAATGGTCGGGCGTTTGCGTATTTACTGCTATATACCGGGCTATTCACTTTGAGTCTCGTATTCAGTTATCATACCTGGGAAACATTTTATTTATTTAATTATCTTCAACGATTACAACATTTCACAAAATTAAATTAATAGAAAAGTACCGAAATTTCTTCTTTAAAAAAGGCGCGAGAGGATCACATGAAAAGGGTTCCCATAACTGTATCTAAGTCTTTTTTTAAATATTGTTTATCAAATTAGTTCAAATATCTCCTAACGGATAAGGGGCTGATTTGGCCCTAACCAAATGAGAATATTGGACACCCGTATCCGAGATGGAGATGGTCACTTTCAACAGTGCTTTGTATGATAAATATTAGGTTATTTTTAGTCAATTTTTTCGCCAATATTATTGGAATGCTGAAAAATATGGACACGCAATAAAATCCTTTTTGATTTTTTATCGCGTAAGCTAAACGAGATATGGGAAAAATTCAAGAGACGAAAAAGTAGCAGTTTTTGTGGCTCTATCTCGGGGAAATCGAAATTAAATTAAACTTAATGGCGTACATTTTTATCAATAGATTTTATAAAGTTGCCCCCCAGTCCCTGTCGCCACTGCTTAATGTTTATTTAGTTCCGATCAAATTCGACCCTCGTCACTATAAACGACGTTACCAAATTTCAAACAAACATTGTCGCGGGGTTTTTTAAACACCCTGTATACTTGAGATACCCTAAGGTAAAAAAGAAACAAATTTTAATTGCATTTAATTTTTTGAAAACTACCACTCAAGCACAACAACAAGCGGTCTATGCAAACCATAAGGATATTTCAAAATGCTTTTTAGGCTAGAGCCCATTTCTTTTGCGATTAATTTAAAAGAAAAACAAAAATCTGAGCGGAGTCTCAGTATGCCCATTTGCTTTAGGAATTCTCAATCTCATTTTATAACTATTTTAAATTCATTTGGAGATAAATCTGCGCTAAATCTAGAAATAAAATCTAAGCTTCTTTAAGCAGATGCAGCATATTTACTTGATTCGCATCAATTACTGCTCCAAGTTGCTTAACTTCACTTACTCTGTCTAAATTTATTTCATATTCAAACTCAACGTTTTTTTCAACAAAATGTAATGCAAATGCAGTTATTGATATTTAAATCTAAACCATTTAAGTTTTACCAATGAAAAATGGCATCTATATCGCACTATTAAATAATTTATAGTTAAAAGTACCATTAAAACAAACAAAACAAATTTATTTATATCAAAGGTAAGCAAATCGATCAACATAGGTCCACGCGATCTCTGCCGCACACCAGATGAAACAATCACCGTGACAATCACCCGCATGTATACTAGAATTATTTTGTCAAACGTAGAGCGACTCAAAAATAACGGAAACTTTGGAATTTTGAAATTAATGCACTATTTGCAAATCCGAATTCGACACAAAATTGGAAAAAAATGTACGACTAATTTGCTACAGTTTTTGAAAAAAAATTATGACTGGAAAAATCCGTCGTCAAAACTTTAGCAAAACCGCTACTACTGAACTATGAACTCTGAAGAGAAGGAAAGCTTTGTAAATTTTATCTGCGGTTTGTACCTATAATTTATTCAAATTTATCTTCTTAGCGCTATATCCAATTGCAAGCCAAAGTAACTTAAATAGAGCCAATTTGTTAAAACAATGCTCCAATATTCTCAATGAAATTGTTGACAATTCCTCAAAATATGTATATGTTATGTGGTTCGTAATATATATCATATTTCAGCAATAGATCATTGCGCTTGTTTTAAGCTGTTTTCCTGACTTGACAATTTAACTTTAGAAGGCACGTTTGAAGACGAACATGAACAATAGCAACTGTCATTTTTCTTTATCTTAATTTTTCTTCTTGGATAAACCGCAACAACGCTGAACGTATCGAAAACGTTGTTTTGTTTTATTTCGTTGAAATTATAAACCCAATCCCGATACCAATTGAATTGAACTCTGCCTTTTTTAATTGATGGAACATTTTCGATCGATTTTCGATACTAATTCTTTTCATTGTTATTTTTTTGCTAATATCGATTATGACTATTTCTTACATCCTGTATTATTATTACAATTATTCTGGTATAGACACTGTTAAAATTGATATCCAATTTGTATCTTATCGGTTTGAATTTGGGCGATATTTCAAATATAGAATAGGAATTATTACTATTTTTATTCTGTGTAGTCTTCCACAACTATATAAAAATTTATTCATGACAATATTCAATATGACACTGATTAAAATCGATATCGAATACTGAACTTAAACGTACAGACTTTTTGTTGAAGGGTTTCGAATTAGAACGATATGATCTGCTTCTAGAGAAATTTTTATTATTATTATTTTGCTTCGCAGACTTCAGCAACTGTCAATATTTAAATTTATTCATGGAAAGGCTAAATACACCAAAAAACGACAAACGATATTAAAATGTATTTATTGAAATACTAAATGCACAAAGTAAAAATGTAGGTTAAAATCGATATCGAACATCGAACCTAAACGTTCAGACTTTTTATTAAAGTGTTTTGGATTAGAACGAAATACACTGCTTCGATATTAATTTTTATTAATTTCGCTTTGTAAATTTCAATCGCAGTCGATATTAAAATTTACTAAATAAAATATTAAATTTACCAAGTAGAAATCGTTTGATTACATCTACGAGGAGTCTATATTGGTCAAAATCGAACATCAAACCTAAACATTTAGACTCCGTGTTGAAGTGTTTCGAATTGGAACGATATATACTGTTTCGATAGGAATTGTTATTAATTTTGTTTTGTAAGTTTCAATTACAGTCGATATTAAAATTTA